ACAAGAAGGGAAGTGCTTGAATGTTTAGTTTTAGAAGTGAACAGAAATTTTAAATTTGAGAGCAGTGATTTACAAATTAGAATTTTACCTTGTTGCAAAGCAACACTGCACTCTGGTGGGAAAGATGATTAATTGCGCTTTCAAAGTGAACTCAGTTTTGTGCTAAAATGCACACTAGTGGGAAGGCTGTGGTGAATAGTGTTGACTTTAATCTCAGGTTGGTGCCTTTATATTTCAGTGTTTGTGCATTGTGTCAGTCATCTAGTTCTGGATTATAAATGATAAATGACCTGCGCTTGAATAGTGCCTTTCAGAGTCAGAGGACTCCAAAGCGCTTTACACTACAGTACATGTCTCTGTCTACCTGTGATCATGGTTTCAGGTGTGACGGAACAGATGCATTGAGCTACACACCAGAGACTCCATGTTCTAAATGCTTTTATTTAATATGGCAGTCTGTGGAATTATTTGGTCAGATAGCTTGTCTAATAATGATTGTTGATGATTGAGCACACTGTCCAACAGTCACACTACTTTTTTCTCTTCCTTTTATAGTGTTTATAGGCTAAACCACATTTTAGTTTTGGGTAATACGCTTGAGGTAGGGTTGTTTTGCTGTTTTATATAACAAAAATTATCTGTGATTTAGAAAGGAGGCTGTTTGTGAGACAAATTTCAGTTTTAGACTGACATTCTCACCAAAATTAAATCATAATTTATAACTAACAGTCCTGCCTTTGTTAGTCACATCTAAACTAAATCTAAGACAGAATTTGCCAAGATATTTTGAATAAAAACAAATTTCTTCATTATCTTTTAAGTTCCTATTAAAGCTTTAAACAGCTTTTTAAAAATAGGTGTTTCTAATGGTCAAAATACTAGGTAACACTTTACAATAAGGGTCCCTTTATTAAGTTACTAAGGGCATAATTATGCATTAATAAACTATTAAATAAAGTATTAACAACTGCTTAAAATTAATGTTAATATTAAGCAATGAATTACTAAGCATACACTCACCCCTGGCCCTTTGTTTTAATCTTGAGGACAATTAATAGTTAACAATATCAGGAATATTAATAAAGAAATTCTCTGTTTATTAAGCCTTAATAATGCACTAAGTAACATTAATAAAGGGACCTTTATTGTGGTTACCAAATACTATTTGATAATCTTTTGCTCACATTTTCACTACCAACATAAACAGTTTGTTCAATCTGAAATAAATATGCCGTTTACCTTGCTTAAAATACTTTATTGGATTAGTCAGGGTGAAATGTATAATAATTGGATATTGGATAAATGATACCAACCACGCTACCCAACTGGCAACTGAAAGAGCAGCTACTTTTAAAAAATGTAATAAAGTTTACCCAAACTGCCTTTGTTCTGGACCACACGTGCGCATGCATCAAAGCAGGACCTGGAAGCATTTTAAACCTAGATGTAACACCACCCATTTCTCTCATTTCTATGAATAGAGCCAAATCTGGGCGGTTCCCATCGCCGCCATCTTGGCTGTGTCACATGTCTCCTCATACCCAAAAAATCCAAAAATGGGAAAAGAAGTGGAGCTGAGAGTGGGACTGTGAGCTCATGCACCACTTTTTTGCCACGGCAGATCAGTGGGAGATTAGCTACATGCTAACCTGAAGCTAACTGAGGTTTTTGGGTGCTTTTAGCAAGAGACACACTTTTGATAAAATCCAAAATAAAGCAATACCAACTCAAAAAGCTGCTGTGTTTCTGTTGTCTTCATCAGAGAGCTCCATGGGTGACCAGCACAACTGCAGTCTTGCATGAAGCCAGGCGGCTGCCTAGCACAGCTCCACCGGGAGGTTGAAGCTGACAGCCACCTGCGTCTAGCAGCTATTCCCAGTTGGGTGACAGGAGAAGATGGGCACCTGCCTCGCTGGGCTGCCTCCGGGAGGATGGAGCGGCAGGGCCGAAGCCACTAAGGGTGAGGAACATTAACGAGACTCGGCAAACATCCCTTCTGCAGCAGTGACCTTGTGGACCTGGAAGCCTCCGCTAGCTAAACTCGTTCAAATTATGTTTGAACCCATCTTTGACCAAGCAGTGTTATGTTAAATGTACAGCATTTTCCCCCATTCAACCAGCAAAATAAAGTGCAGAATTATAATTTTACTTACGGATAAAAATGAAGCAGAGACTTCTTGGATTATGATAATTTCATGATCAACATCCAAACACAAACACGCAGAGGACACAACTAAAGTTCACAGAGTCAAAGTGGCCAAACATCTATTAACTTGAGGCCGAGGTGGAGGCCTATCCCGTGGCTGCTAGTGCTAGTTCTGACGCCCATGCTACCTGTCAATAAAATCTATCCATCCAGTCATCCATTTTTAGCTCTTACCCAGAGTTGGGTCGCAGGTGCAGCAGCCTAAGCCAAGGAGCAGCAGGTCTACTCAGAGCCCCTCCTAATTGACTGAGCTTCTCACCCTATCTCTAAGGGCCAGCCCAGCCACCCTGCAGAGAAAACTCATTTCAACCGCTTGTATCCGTGATCTCGTTAGTTCGGTCACTACCCAAAGCTCATGACCATAGGTGAGGGTAGGAGCGTAGATCGACCGATAAATCAAGAGCTTTGCCTTCCGGCTCAGCTCTCTTCACCACAATAGATCGGTACAGCACCCGCACCGCTGCAGATGCAGCACCAATCTGCCTGTCAATATCACACTTAATTTTTTCCCTCACTCGTGAACAAGACAAAGAGATACTTAAATGTCTCCATTTGAGGCAGGACCTCATCCCTTACTCGGAGAAGGCATTTTACCATTTTCCAATTCAAGATCGATTAGATACTTTTTTATTTTTGAGGTGAAATCCATTCACTCCCAAACTCCACTACACGCGTCTCCTTTGAGATCAGAGACAGCTTTCTGTGGCTACTGCTGATGTGCATGATGGTGCTTGTGGTGAGATTGCATTTCATCCATGTGCACACACGGGGTGGGATGGGGGAATACAGATGTGCACATTACCTTGGAGACTGAATTAGAGCTAAACCTGTTCATACATTCACATGCATTCCATTCACTCGCACCTGCCTCCCACAGACAGCCTGCACACTGTCAGAGTTTAAACACACACACCTCATACTTCTCCAGTTTAACTCCATGATGAGGGACCTAAAAAAAATTTTTTTAAAGGAAGGGAAGTCATGTGTGACGAGGAGGTCAAAATATGTGCAAAGATTCCTTCCTGCCAGACAAGAGTCGTCTCAAGGCACTTCACATAGTAAACATTCCAACACAGGTCAGTTCATTAAGCCAATCAGTAAAAAGTTTACTATATAAGGAACCAAGCAGGTTGCATCATGTCACTGACTAGGGTCAGAGTCTTTACAGCAATCCTCATACTAAGTGAGCATGTAGCGACAGTAGAGAGGAAAACTCCCTTTTACAGGAAGAAATCTCCAGAGGAAGATCGAGAAGACAGAGCACGCAAACACACACACACACACACACACACACACACACACACACACGGCATACCAAGAAGAGTTTCTATGACTACATTGTGATATCTAAGTAGATATTCTATTTAGTAAAAGATAAACTTTATTTTCTTAATCTAAGTGAATCTGTAATTAACTCAACAGGTAGTAGCACATGCTATTAGCCTGGCCTGCCAGACTCCTCCTCTGTTTAATTCTGCACAGAGAAAGGGTCTGGGAACTCTCCAATTCAAATAACCCCACCCCCTGAGAATTTTAACCAAGCCAATCAGCTCTGAGTAGTTTACATCACACACCACAATGCCGAGTTTGTCATAAACATGGCGACTGAAGTGGAGTTCACTGCAGCTCTTTCCTTTGTTCTAAACCACTTGGACACATCTTTAAAACAAGTAGAAGCGCTAAAAGCATTTCTTCTAAAGAAAGATGTTTGCGCTGTCACCAGACTCCATTTCTGACTACAGCTAAAAATCTACAGCGTGGCGGTGACCATGGTCTCAGATTTAGAGGAGTTGATTATCATCGCAGTCACTTCACACTTGGCTGCGAACCGCCCCAGCAAAAGCTGGAGATCGCTGTCTGATGAAGAAATTCTGTCGGAGGTGGGAATTGAAGCTCCTTCTGAAGGAAGACTCTGCCAGATATTCCCAGCAAACCCTCACAGTATGTTTGGGCCTGCCAGGTCTGACTGGCTTCCTCCCCCACCATCAAAGCCAACTTACCACTAGATAGTGGTCAGTTGACAGCTCCACCCCTCTCTTCACCTGAGTGTCCGAGACGTGCGGCCACAGATCAGATAAAATTACAACAAAGTCGATCATTGAACTGCAGCCGTGTCCTGGTGCCAAGAGGTCACCTTTATGCTTGAACATGGTTTTTTGTTACGGGCAATCCATGACTAGCACAGAAGTACGATAATAAAACACCGCTCAGATTCAGATCATGGGGGCCATTCCTTCCAACCACACCTCTCCAGGTCTCACTGTCATTGCCCACGTGCACATTAAAGTCCCCCAGCAGAATGACGGAGAACGTAAGTACTTCAAGTACTCCAAAAAGGTTGGGTAGTCTGAGCTGCAGTTTGGTGCATAAGCAGTCGAATCTAATTATTCATAATTTCAACCATTTAATTACACCTAATTGGAAGTTTACAAAAAATTCACCCCTCTCAGAGTTGTCATGACTGCAATCTAGATCTGTTAAACCTAAAATGTTTTTGAACCAGGCTGTAAACATGTTTATTTCTGTTTTTAAATTGGCATTAGCAGTATTGACATTTTAATATAGGTATTAGTGTTTTATAGATATTTAATAACACTATCACCCTTACAACTTTTACCATTGCTAGTAATAATAATAATAATAATAATAATATTGTTATTATTATTATTATTATTATCAGTTCTCTGTGAATGTTTTATTGTAACTCCAATGAGCAGAAATTGTTTATCTATGCAACACAGCAACATAGTTTGATTTTATGCTACAACGGCTTTCCTTACCCTGAGCCAAAGTTGACTGTGTTTTGTCTTTTGTGCAAAGCAGAAGAGAAGAGTGGAGTCCGATCAAGCAGCGGCGTCTCTTCCCTCTTCCCCGGATCCTCTTAAAACTCCCTCCCGAACCTCTCCCCTTCCACCCTTGCCACCCTATCCACCCCTGAACACACTTCAAGTGACGGTTCGGGTAAGACTTCCATGAATATTATATTTATTTATATATGTTTTTTCATTTCTGAAAGTGAAGGGCAGAGATAGCAGTACTAACGTAGGCCGCGGGATACGTCTACTTCCTGGAACGCGATGCTAATATGCTAGCGTGCTGAATGAACAATTACCAATCTGTGTTTACCTTGAAGGCTGCCTGTGAATTATAGCATACACTCTGTTAATTATGTCGATGTGCGGGATGGAGTGATTAAACAGATTTATTTGGTTCACTTTCTGTAGCAACCACGATTTTAGGAAATTGTAGTAATAGCGTCGTTTCGTTGCTAAATTTAGCTTCCAACATCATGTTGGCGTGATGCTGTTTTTCAGCTAGAAGTCTGACGTTATTTACGCTGCTTAGCTGGAGCTTTGTTTTTCTATCAACTCTTTAATGGCATCAGTAGCTGAAGAGTTTGAGTAGTTTGCATATCCACATTAAAAAAGAAAGCTGGAAGTTAGGTCGCCACTGCTGTTCAGTGCCAGGAAGTAGACACGGTGTTGGGGAAACAGTGGGTCATTGTCAACAAGAATGAGTGGACTCGGGCCAGTTTAACACTAATTACTGAAGTAAAGCTCATTATTTCTAACGCAGTTAAAGTGCAGAGCCAGCTCGCCTGCAGGCTAAATGTGAGCTGCATCACTTTCATTGATCTGTTCTGCCTGCAGATTTTAGGTAAAGAAGGCGTAACTGAGAATCGCTCTCACTATTTTACTATATTTAATAATCAGGGTACTACTAAATCAACCTTCTTTGCTGATTATTGGATGGATGAATGACTACAGCTGTAGACATGTGCAGTAATAATTTTTTTATTTGGCATTTTAGCGCATCATAAAGGTGGAATGTGGAACATTTAAATTAAATGCTATAATTTTAAAAATAATACTTCCACGGGGCGTTTAGAGGTGTGCAGAATGAATGTACAGTTTCTGCTATAAATGCTATATTTAGAAAAAAAATTATCAAAATGTTATTCTGACAGCATGATACTGGGTTTATGTTTACTTCTACAAGGCAGTAGGGAGCACCATTGCAGTAAAAAGTCAGCTTTACAAGGCGAGGCTGGGACTTTGTAAAATGGGGGATAGGGTTGTCACGGTATGAAAATTTAACCTCACGGTTATTGTGACCAAAATTATCACGGTTTTCGGTATTATCGCGGTATTTTTTAAACGGTGTTGCATATGTTCAGAAAGCATTGATAGTCCTGTTCTACACAAACTGAAATAGTTCTGAAAAGGTTTAACAGTGTTTATTAAACCTAAAATAACACAAAGCCTTAGCAAAAGTGCAACTTTTCACTAGTAAAGGAACAAATAGCTTCTTTTTCTGGAACATGTTACAGTAGTCAGTGCAGGTTTAAATTATACAAATCCAAACATTCAAAACATAAACAATATGTAAACAAATCAAAGAAACACCACTTGTTTTCTCATATACTTGTTTTCTTCATTATCAAAATGAAAATCTAAAACTCCAGTCCACACTTGACTTGAGCACTGTACAAGTCAACCTTAAAAAATATGTATTTAAAATAAATAGCCACTTTAAACAAATTACTAAAATAACTACTACACTATGTAATCAAATCCAAATGTTCAAGTATAAATGGCATTGAATAAGTAAACAAATCAATGACAAGGAACTAATTGTATATTTCTCTTCATCATCAACAAATAAGATGCTTCATCCAGCAACAGGGTGTCCGTGACACGGTTTAAATGCTGGCAGAGGACGCTGCGGCTGCAGTATATAGTGACTCGTTGCATTCTCCGTCAACCAAAAGTCCTCGCGTCATGCATTTAAGCTAAAATGCTAATGTTAACTTACCTTGCACTGGCTGTAGAGACGTGGGTGATCGTCACTCAGATGAGCCATTAGATTCGAAGTGTTGCTGCCTTTTGCAGACACTTGTTTCCTGCACGTTCTGCAAACGGGATAGCAGTCTTCTATTAACTGTCCCTCAGCATTTTTCAGAAATCCAAAATATGCCCATACTTCCGATTTAGTCTTCTTTGAGGGCTGATGGATGTCCTGGGCGCTGCCGTCTCCTCCTTCGGCCATTATTTCAGCTTCAAAGTTTTGGTGCCGTTGCAAACTAAAAAGTGCGTGTGCGCGCCGCGGGAACTTCAGCTGAAGCGACGGTGGCTGGTAAGGGTCACCGCGCTGAAACCACGGCCACGGTAAACCCACCGAGATAATATAGTTTTTTAAAAACTGGACGGTTATTTTTATTGTCAACTTTTTTACCGGGGTTTACCGCTATACCGGTTACCGTGACAACCCTAATGGGGGACTTGTTAAATCAAGCTGCTGACTTTGAGTTCAGAAGATGTTCCAACGGTAAATACTGTTGTAAAATAAACCTATTGGTAGAAATGAGTCCTTATAGTTACCCAATACGATTCTCCACGGGACATGGTGCTGGCTGGTCACGTCTCATATCAGCAGTGAACCAACACCCTGACGGCTGGAAATTGTGTTTTGTTGGTGCACTACCACGTCTATACACTAGATGTCGCTATAGTGTCCGTGTTCCATATTCAACCTTTCATTCAAATGAAAAAGTTCAGCCTTAAACAGTCGTTTTTGCGCCCCCTTCAGGATTAAACTCTGCTGCATAAAATTGAATTTGAATCAACCATTGCTACTGGCTAAATGCTAAAGTGTAGTTTATGCTTCTGCGTCGGTACGGAGAAATGCAATGCCATTATCTGTTCTTGCCAGAGCTCTCCAGCAGTCTCACAAGGATGGATGGAGTAGAACTAGGGCTGCACAATATATCGAAAAATTATCGTCATCGCGATAACAGGACGTGCGATAGGCCCATCGCAAAACATGGCAAAAACAGCGATAAATGTTTGGTTCAAACATTTCCATCCGTGTCATACATCAGCTTTTTGTAAACCAGCTCTTGTTTTTTACACGGAAGTATTATTTGGCCAATCAAATGTAGTCCTTCTGATATGCGGCCAATCAGTTGGTCCCGTTCACGAAATACGCCCGCCCCCTACATAGACCCTTTTGGAAAGCAACACCCAAACAGAGTTTGCGGCACTGTTCCCTTGTTCATCATGCTGGCTCAGAGCCACAAACGCACTTTGTGCTGATGTTTCTGGATTCAGCGCTGCTTTCAAACGCGAACGTGACTCCGCTCGGTGTCGTTAATCATTTTTACTGGACTGACTCCGACATGTGCCAGTGAACCAACCCACCTTCATGTCGCTAGTGTTAGCCCCAGGCTCCGGTTAGCTTCCAGCTAAAAGGCTACAGCACTCTCCTCCCAGTCCCACCCTGCTGAAGAGGGCCTGGAAAAGTTCCCCCACACATCAAAGTGATTTTTCATTTATGAGCTTTTATAACCTTGTTAATCAGGATAGTTGATTTGCTGCTGCACATAAACTGTCAGTCAGAAGCTCTGCTAGCCGGCTATCTTAGAAGCTAGTTCATTTTGTTAGCTTGTTATCAGAATCATAGTTGCAGTTTCATCATCTGAGCTGCTTTTTAAGATCTAGGTAAACTTGTTCAATTTGGGGTTAAAAACAAACGTTTTCACAAATTTTCCCTGTAGTTTTTCTTTTTGCCAGTTCCTCTTCTGAAAGGTAGACAATTTTTTTTCTCTCACCCTCAAAAAATCTTAATATTCTCCTAGTTTGGCCCAGCACAGTTCACTTTCCAATTACAGCAACAGCCTTATATCATAACCACATAAGTGGAGAAAATGTTCAGTAGCAATGAGAGAATTTGCTGTTGCATTTAAGTGATGTTAACTATTATTTAACATTTAAACTTATTTTCTGATTTTTTTATTTATTAAAAAACCCTGGTAAGGGATGTTTTTCTGTATTTGGAGCATCAGAAAAAGTTTTATGGTGGAGGTGATGTTTTAAAGTCACTGAGAACCTGCATGCATGCAGTTTGTTGTTTTGCTGCTAATACAGTAGCAGGTGCAGCTGCATATTTTTGCAATAAAAATGTTATCTTGTAATGGAATTCATGCATTAGTTATTGTTTGCTTTGAACCCAGAGCAAACGTCACACACCAGACGACATCAACGCTGCATACTTTAGTATTTGTTAATTTATCGTGAGTAATATCGATATCGCAATATTAAGCACTGTTATCGAATATCGCAGGTTTTCCTAATATCGTGCAGCCCTAAATAGAACTCAGTTTTGTAAATATCCTTGGAAAGCGACAGAGACCGCAACGCAAGCCTGTGACTGGTCAGGATGCCGCTTACTTTAACTTTGTCAACAGCGCCGCCATTCCCCCTCAAAAAACAAAACGGGAACTGAACATATTTAGTGACAGACACGGAGCAGATTGAAGAACATCTCGCGGTAAAAGTCCGACATTATAAAGCGTTTATACACCAGTGACTGAAGAATTACAAAGAAACACAGCAAACTTTTTATTTGTGTCAGGAAATTATAGTAAATTTGAGTTTAGAGGTGGTGACTGCATGGAGAGGTGAAGGGAAAAAAAATCCTTGTTTAAGTTTCTGAAATACATAAACACAATGTAAACACACTTGAGACGTGACTAGGGTTGTCACGGTATGAAAATTTAACCTCACGGTTATTGTGACCAAAATTATCACGGTTTTCGGTATTATCGCGGTATTTTTTTAAACGGTGTTGCATATGTTCAGAAAGCATTGATAGTCCTGTTCTACACAAACTGAAATAGTTCTGAAAAGGTTTAACAGTGTTTATTAAACCTAAAATAACACAAAGTCTTAGCAAAAGTGCAACTTTTCACAAGTAAAGGAACAAATAGCTTATTTTTCTGGAACTTGTTACAGTAGTCAGTGCAGGTTTAAATTATACAAATCCAAACATTCAAAACATAAACAATATGTAAACAAATCAAAGAAACACCACTTGTTTTCTCATATACTTGTTTTCTTCATTATCAAAATGAAAATCTAAAACTCCAGTCCACACTTGACATGAGCACTGTACAAGTCAACCTTAAAAAATATGTATTTAAAATAAATATCCACTTTAAACAAATTACTAAAATAACTACTACACTATGTAATCAAATCCAAATGTTCAAGTATAAATGGCATTGAATAAGTAAACAAATCCATGACAAGGAAGTAATTGTATATTTCTCTTCATCATCAACAAATAAGATGCTTCATCCAGCAACAGGGTGTCCGTGACACGGTTTAAATGCTGGCAGAGGACGCTGCGGCTGCAGTATATAGTGACTCGTTGCATTCTCCCTCAACCAAAAGTCCTCACGTCATGCATTTCAGCTAAAATGCTAATGTTATCTTACCTTGCACTGGCTGTGGAGACGTGGGTGATCGTCACGCAGATGTGCCATGAGATTTGAAGTGTTGCTGCCTTCTGCAGACACTTGTTTCCTGCACGTTCTGCAAACGGGATAGCAGTCTTCCATTAACTGTCCCTCAGCATTTTTCAGAAATCCCAAATATGCCCATACTTCCGATTTAGTCTTCTTTGAGGGCGGATGGATGTCCTGGGCGCTGCCGTCGCCTCCTTCGGCCATTATTTCAGCTTCAAAGTTTTGGTGCCGTTGCAAACTAAAAAGTGCGTGTGCGCGCAGCGGGAACTTCAGCTGAAGCGACGGTGGCTGGTAAGGGTCATCGCGCCGAAACCGCGGCCACGGTAAACCCACCGAGATAATATAGTTTTTTTTAAAACTGGACGGTTATTTTTATTGTCAACTTTTTTACCGGGGTTTACCGCTATACCGGTTACCGTGACAACCCTAGACGTGACTGAATTGATGGCAGGATACCCCAGAAAAGTGCTACGCCCTCTGCTGTCCTGGCAGATAATTGCTACACAACACCAACAGAGAAGTATAAATGGAAAAGGTGCATCCTTAAACGTCAATTACACATCGTCATAAATAATCAAGGTCTTAATTTCAGTCAGTCATTGTGATTATTAGGGATATTCTAATTGATCGGCCAATATCTGCTGATTTTTGTGAAAAACGCGTGTTCTGCAAATTTCGATCAATGCCTTTCAGAGCCAATCATACCAGTCACCTGTTTTACTTTGCAGCTGGCAGAGACCCGTGGGCGTCGTCACGCACTATTTAGACTGTTGAGAGCTTTTAATGTTTAAAATCTGTTAGATTGTTACTAACATCAGCTACATTTAAGTGTTCCGGTTTTCCTTTTAAGTGAATCGTTGCTGCTTCGTGCTGCACGTTGGTGTAAATCCTCATTCATCTTGGACGTGATCATCATGAGAGTTTTAATAGAAAACAACTGGACTGTTCTGGTTATCTTGAAGACATTTTATCGCTCATAAGAGGCTCCTTCAGTTCTAAACCTTGTGTTGTGAGTAGGAGGCTTAGAAGTTGTGGTTAGAAACAAACATTGATTGTGCTTCAAGTTTTTTTCTTCTCTTGAAAAAATAAAAATATGTTTTTGTCTAAATTAATACAGGTCATTTAATGTGATGTCATTGTTCCTTTCCCCCCAGCTCATGTAGGCTGTAGCGCTCATTTAACTACATAGCAAATGTATGTCCAATCCATGTGATCGGTATCGGTGATCAGCAGCAAAAACCTGATAGAAGCATCCCTAACATGACTTTTTTAATCTTTCATTCTCTTTACCGACCTGAAGCCAGAAGCCAATACATCTCTTTGTTGGCCAGCGAGGTGGACTGAGCAGCAGCAATGGAAACAAGTCTGGTTGAAGGAGGACTTAATGTCACCTTAACCATCAGGTTACTCATGCATGGGAAGGTGAGTGGGACTTCATTTATTCTAAAGGGCTGTGGCCTCATTTATAAAGCTTTATTTACAAAACAGGTCTGGAAGTCACACAAGTCATTTTCCACGCACACTTTGTGATTTATAAAGAAAAACTTGTCTGGAAAATTGTATGCAACTTTAAAGTGAGCATCAATGCATGGGTAGAGACGTATTTAATCTACACTTCCTGTTAGGAAAACGCTTCTGAAAGAGGCGTCGCCTGGTGGACCAAGAGAGCAGCAGTGAGGCAGTGATACACCGCACCCCCCTCAACCCTCCCACGTGTGCTTTCGGAGTTTCCAATTCTAAAAACGAGTTGTTAACGAGCATGTGCGCACGTGCACGAAAGCACGCACTCACACAGACTTACCACTCAGGAGAAAAGTACCTTAGACAAATTCTGCAGCATTCTGGAGGATTTCCTGTTAAACGTGATCATTAGATGAAAAGGGGGAGGAGGGCATTTTTTTCAAAAGGCAACCAGCTCAGAGCGCTAATGTGTCAAATCAGCAGGTGAGTGGCGGAGCCAGGTGGAGGTTAGGGTTAGGTTTATCGCATATCGCAGGTTTTCCTAATATCGTGCAGCCCTACTAGAATTTGAAGATCCTCACACTGTGATGTCACAGTGTGAATTTGCATTCATCTTGGCTCGCGCCTGCCCACAGACAGGGAAGAAAGAAATAGGTGGGCCTGACAGAAGGGCCGTGAGGACTCCTACACAAGCCGTTACTCTTCATTTGAGTCAGTAGTACTGTATGAATAAACTGAATTAACTGTTCGTTCTGTTTATTAAAATGTTTTTACCATTTTTTTTTCTTCAGTTCTCATCTAAGTAGAGCTGTAGTGAAGCGTCAATGACGTTGACGGCTTGATTCTAAAAATTCGTCGACGTCAGATCCGGTAGTCAACACACCACGTCCACTTGTTGCATCCCCAGGAGTTTATAAATAGAGGAGGAATCTGCCTGTTTTTCCTCTAGTTCGCCCTCTTCTCCGCCTTCACTAACATCTCCGCCAAATACCAAAGACCCGGAACAATGTCCGTCTGCTGCTAGATAGATTCCTTTCTTGTTTTGCCCGCCTTCGTCTCTTGGCAATGGACAACAACTTCCGGGGTCAAATGCGCAGCTTCGTCTCTACCGCAGATGTAGAAAATCACCGGGAGCGTTTCTCCCTTCATAAAGGAGCTTCTTTCAGACATTAGGAGAGCTGTTTTTGTGGTAGCAGTCTCTCCTCCGTGCTGGTCTGTTTGCTGCTGGGTGTTTTTGGTTTATTTAAACTTGGTAACTTGATCTTAACGTTGTTAAAGCTACTGTTAGCATTTTCGCTAACAGCTTCTTACGTTTGGATAAGCTGTTACGTTTTGGTTTAGAGTTCATCTTTTCTGTGGTGCAGATCTCCCTTTTATTACATTTGGAGTGTCTTGGGTTTTCAGTTTAGTTTAAAATATCACCTTGAGTTTGGTTTAACCACCCAGCTTAGAGTTTGGACCCTTGGAAATCCTTATTTTGGTCCAGAAACCAGTAATCTTTGCCCAGTGGGACATCCCTAGTTATTTGTCCTTTTGTTTCAATTCCCCAAAGGCAGAATTAGTTTTATTATTCCCAACCTGTGGATGGAAAGATTTACGTTTTTTTGTTGTTGTAAATAAACCTGATCATCATTTTAACTTTTAAATCCCACCTTACTGTCCCTTCCTTTTTGCACACGAGCCAAACTCCCCAGGAAGGGTCGTAACACCACTCGCCTCACGCACATAAGTGACCAAATCAAAGCAGCATGGACACACTCAGTCTCCAACCACCTCTCAGGCAGCAGCCTGCACTCCCAAGTTCTACATGTCACCAGAACATAACCAACCGTAACACAGTAAAAGCAGTGTTATACAAAATGGAAGGCCTGTAGTGTTTATTCTCTTACAGTAAGAATTTATCAATTTTTTTGAGGAATTTATTTGAGATTTTCTAGTTTTTATTAATTGTGCAATAGAAAAATTATCGTTAGATTAATCTTCTAAATAGTCATTAGAATAGTCGACTATTTGATCAAATAATCGTCAGATTAATCGTTTAAAAATAATCGTTTACCCCCAGCCCTACATCTAAGCTTTGTCCAGTACACACTCAGATCTCGCAGTTGAGCAACTTGATTTTTAAATGCAATCTGTCATTTCATTTTGTATCATGCATAAAAATAGAGTAAACTTCCAGCTAGGAGGTGCACATAGCTGAAACGATGATGTTTGGTCATGGTAGCAGGTTAGAGGCAGCGTGGAGCTGTGAAACCAACTCTCTTCAATCAGAGATTGATTTTAAAATCAGACTCAGCCAGCCTCTAAAGACTTTGCATGAGAGGAATATCAGTTTGACTTCATGTAGAAAAAACAGGATTTGTTAACGTGTTTTTTTTTTTTGTTTTTTGTTCCTTTCTGCAGGAGGTTGGAAGCATAATCGGCAAGGTAAGTGCTTTCCTTTTTCCTGCTGAAAGGATGTTATCTTCTGCTCCATCTGTGTTTTTTGAAAATCCTGCATATTTGGGGGTTTTTTTCCTACAGAAAGGCGAGTCTGTGAAGAAAATGAGAGAAGAGGCAAGAAGTTCTTTTTCCTTCCAGCATGTTGGAAAACAAAAATGAACTTGGCTACAACTGCACTTGACTTAACCTCGTGTTTGCTCACATCTGTGCAGAGTGGTGCTCGCATCAACATCTCGGAGGGGAACTGTCCGGAGAGGATCATAACTCTGGCAGGACCCACCACTTCCATCTTCAAGGCCTTCTCCATGATCATTGAGAAGCTGGAGGAGGTGCGGGTCGCTCGCTGCATCATTGCCAGAATAAAGTACCAGAAACATCTTGGCTAAACCGTTTACATTTTTGCTCTGTGCTGTTTCATCTGCAGGACATCAGCACCTCCATGACTAACAGCACGGCCACCAGCAAACCACCAGTCACCATGCGTCTCGTCGTGCCTGCCAGCCAGTGTGGCTCTCTCATTGGCAAAGGCGGCTGCAAAATCAAAGAAATCAGAGAGGTTTGTTGTCTTCTTCGTGTGAATCTTTGGATTTGGGAGCGTATGTGTTAACTGGTGTGTGTTCTTCTGTTTCTGTAGTCAGCAGGAGCTCAGGTACAAGTAGCAGGGGACATGCTGCCCAACTCAACAGAGCGTGCCATCACCATTGCAGGGACCCCACAATCCATCATTGAGTGTGTGAAGCAAATCTGTGTCGTCATGCTTGAGGTATGAATGAAGATCACGTCGTTGATCCTTTTGAGGGACGGAGTTTCTTCAAGAAGTTAAAGCAGATGTTTATTTGTTCTTAGTCTCCACCCAAAGGCGTGACCATCCCATACAGGCCCAAACCCTCAGGCTCTCCTGTCATCTTTGCAGGTGGTCAGGTAAATGACCAAAGCTCTTGTGTGAAGGAACATTCTGTGATATTAAGTGGTTGGGATTGTTTATTTGTACATGTTACTGCTCTTCTGGCTTTGTTCTGATGCCCATCTGTGAAATGCGGACTGATATGTGGATATTGGAGCGTGTTAATCTTTCTTTTCCCCCTAATGTCTGTTCTCTTTTTGCAGGCATATGCTGTCCAAGGACAGCACGCCATTCCACAGCCTGATGTAAGTGAAGGTCCCTCTGTAAGTGATCCAGTATATTTGCAACTTCAGTCCTGGGAAGCCATGCCACCTCCTTATTTAACCTATTACTTTTGCCACCCTTCCTTTTCTGACCAACAACCCCATTTAACAATTTTAGAGATTATAAACTACAACTCGAACAAGAAAAAACTTAAGGTTAAATTTCACTTCCCATGCTCCATTTCACTGTTTCTGATCATTGCCATCTAACTTCTCTCAACTGGGGAATTGCAATATTTCACACTAGTAGGAATTTTTTCAGTCTTTCTTGACTTTTTTCTCCTCCTTTTGTTGTTTCTTCCTGCCTTTCCTTCTGTTGTTTCTACAGCTCACCAAACTTCACCAGCTAGCCATGCAGCAGGGCCCCTTCCCCATTGCACATGGCAACCAGGGCTTCCAGGGTAGGTGAACATGCTGCAGGCTTGTAGTATATGTGTGCATATTTTCACAACTTTTTCCTCATTGGACTGTCTTTTTTCCCCCCCTCTAAAGCTGGAATGGATGCCTCTGCACAAACTGGCTCACATGAGCTGACCATTCCAAATGATGTAGGTTTAATTTTTCTTTATTTCTAAGTACTCTAGTGTAGAGATTTACTGAAATTAGTTTTCCTATCGCCGGCATGCTCTGCAGATTTTAAAGAGGACTTAGAATCTAAACCAACATTTTCCTTGTTGAATAAAGACAGCTTTGTTGGTCAAAAGTTGCATGTCAAAAAGTCTAAGCCGTGTGTGACCTACTTTTTATGTAAATTAGAAAGTTGAAAAAGGTCAGAGAAAAACTGCTTTTCTGAGCAAGCTTTCCTAGTCATGTCACAAGGTAACCACCCCTGCTACAGCTACACGTTCCAACCCCCTTCAGCGTTATGTGAACGCTGGTCACAGCAGAGCCACGGTACTCTGGGCCTCTGTTAGCACCAGCGAGCTGTTAGCTTCAGCTAGCAACAGCCTTGTTGAAAGAGAGAAAAACCCTCACCACTCCGGTTCCAGGATGTACTGGTAAAATCCAGACTGCATGAATGTCAGATAGATCCACAGCTTGGGGTCTGGTCCTTTTCTTCATTGTTAGTCTACATCAAGCAGCCTGTCTTTGTCACACACACGCTTGACTCACCGCTTCGGTAGAGACTTTTTTTTTCTTCTTTTCTCAAAACTTTGAGTATACAAAATCAAAAAATGTATATAAAATGTAACACAGAACATGTGCAGGGTTAGATATTACACGTGGTATAGGTCCTATGAAATGCTACCATGTTCGGTTTGACTTTTGCTGAGCCATCAAACAGCTAAACAAGAGAAAAAGTTGTTAGTATTTCTGTAGTGTATTTATCTACAATTTAGTAGGGATGTCCAGATCTGACCATGTGATCGGAAATCTGTTCCGATCACGTGGTTTCTGACTCAATCGGGATTGAGTGTTACTTCCCGATATGGACTCGGATACTGGGTTCAAATTGCAGAAGAGCTAAGGGGAACCCGGTTCTCCTGAAAGGTTGTCGGGCTCCCCTGAAGCCCTCAGCTTACACACCCAGAAGGAGCCTGAGAAAAGATCCTGTTTCTACCTATATTATATTATTTATGTGGACTCTCAGCATAGCAGGGATTATTTTCAGTGGAGAGGCAGAGCACTGATTATTCATGCTCTCCAGCCAGCTGCACATGGCCACAGTAACATTTTCAGTATGGTGTTATTAGGGACACCCAAAAAATATATAACATTAACATCGTTGATGTCTGTTCATATTCTCTCTGGTGAATTTTGTCTTTTATTCTAGCCTGATGTGCTCTGCCACTGCAGCGCTCATCACCTGTGGTCTGGTGACTCCATGTCACTGGCGCAGCCGGGCAGCGCAGCGCCCACTCCGCAGTAAATCCCTTTGATCTTTTTGCTTAGTTAAAAGTAACTCATGAGGTGGAAAGTAGGAAGTCAGGCAGAAGTTGTTCTGTAGGACTGAGAGGAGGCAGGAAGATCAGAGACGGACACAACAGGAAAATGGTAAATGGCCTGTATTTGATTTAGTGCCTTCTAGAATCCTGGAACCCCCCCAAGGTGCTTTACAACACAATCAGTCATTCACACATTCACACCTTGGTTGCGATGAGCTACATTGTAGCCGCAGCTGCCCTGGGACAAACTGACAGAGGTGAGTCTGCCGTAAACAGGTGCCACCGGTCCCTCCGACCACCACCAGCAGGCAAGTTGGGTTAAGTGTCTTGCCCAAGGACACAGCGACAGACTGAGCGGGGCTCGAAGCTGCAACCTTCCGATTATGAGACAAGCACTGTTGCAACCCCTGCTAATTGAAGAAAGCAAAGAACCCATTCTCTTGGTGGTGGTGGTGATGGGGGGGGGGGGGGGGGTGTCAGCTGATTGGCTGCTTCGGATGTTTCTGCCAACACCCCTCTGCTTTATTATTGGTGTGGGTGTGCAGCCTGCAATTGTATGAGTGGCTGCACCTGTGCAGCATAAAAGGCTAAGTGCAATTTGGAAAGACTCAGGTGGATCAGGAGTTGAGACTGGTCAGAGGGAGCACCTTTGGGAGCTCTTGCCTGTGTGGCATATTTGGTGAGACCTTTTAGAGGCTGGTTTTTAATTATAAAAAATTACTCTTAAACATTAACCTTGTGTCCAGACCTCCTCCTTTTGTTGCAGTCCCATGAGCCGGGTTGAAACTGCACTTAACTCCTGTGCCGCCATCGCCCAAAATAGGAAAATAAAATCCAAGAAAACGAAACAAAGTTTAGGTACATTCATCCACTACACGTTTTTACCTTTGTAAAGCAATAATATTTATATATTTGATAAAATTCAGATCACCATCAAAACTCAGTTTCACGCCCAGGGCCGTGTCAAGGAAAATACTCCCTAAAGTGTTTGATCTGGGTCGAGTAATGTGCCAGATTTTAAATCAGCTCTACTAAAGAAGCTTATCAGTTGATGGTTTAAAGAAATTATAAACATCAGTCCAATACATCATCTGACTGATATATCGGCTGATCTACTTCATATTCCATTGACTTACGTAATTTTCTATTTTTCACAAGTATTTCTAAAATCTTGTTTTGTTGTATTTATTCCTCTCTCCCAGCTCATCGGCTGCATCATCGGTCGTCAAGGCGCAAAGATCAATGAGATCCGTCAGATGTCAGGAGCTCAGATCAAGATTGCCAATCCAGTGGAAGGCTCGACCGACAGACAGGTCACCATCACTGGCTCCCACGCCAGCATCAGCCTGGCTGAGTACCTGATCAATGCTCGGTAACAGCAGACACTTAAAGGACATAAACAGCTTTTTGAATATTGTTTACTTTAGATAGTTGACAATGCTTTAGTTCAGCTCTCATCGTACTTGTAATTATTTGTTGAGCAGTTTAATGAAAAATATCAGCTTATTAACTTTATTTGTGAAAAGTGTGAGGGTTTGCTTTAATACTAAACAATCGATCTTTCTGACTGAAATTACGATTTCAGACAACGTGATCGTGTGATCACTGAAGCTGCGTTGTTTTGCAGCGCTCCACATTGACCCAGTATCTGTTTTGTGGTATTTGATAGCAAATGTTTGAGCTGACACTGTGGCGCATCAACTGCAAGCTTGGAAGGACCATGCGTGTTTGGTCATTGAGGTTTTTTTTTTTCTTGGCACCACTGTGACCAATATTATGGCCATGGTCTTTCACACACGAGTTGCTGCTCTTGGCTCAGTTTCTCCTCTTTTCCGCAGTGTTTGTGTGTGAAAGGGAAGAACGTAGACGCTGATTCCTGAAACCCCTGAAAGGAATTTACCGTAATAACACTATGCAGACTTAAAAGTGCAACTTCGCTTTCAAAAACCATTTTCTGACGGCACTCACCTTTGTGGAGTTACGGTAAATGAAAGCAAGTTACGTATGTATAATGTGTTGGTGTTCTGTCTAGAGGACACTGGTTTTCTATTGCTGAAATTGATGCTGACCTGTGGTGGTCATGGTCAGCCTATGGCCAATATGTTCTGCCGATTTTTTTTTTGTTCTGACGCTTTGCACTAGTGTTGGACGATATATATGTCCTTAGAGCAACGCTGATGGTGATGGCGTCACTTAGCCTGGCCTGCCAGACTCCTCCTTTGTTTAATTCTGCACAGAGAAAGGGTTTGGGAACTCTCTTATTCAAGTAACCCCACCCCCTTAGAATTCTAACCGAGCCAATCGCGCTGAGTAGCGTGCGTCACACACCACAACGCCGAGTTTGTCATACACATGGCAACTGAAGCGGAGTTCACTGCGGCTTTTATTTTTTCTAAATGACTTGGACACGTCTTTAAAACCACAAGTAGAAGCGCTAAAAGCTTTTCTTCTTAAAAAATAAATAAATAAAAGATGTTTGCGCCATTGCCAGATGCTATTTTTGACTACAGCTAAAAAAACTACAGCATTGCGCGGTACAGTCGTCATTTCCGTCTTTTTCTGATTGGTTATTTTTGAGCTGGCTAGTCCCGCCCCTCATGTGTCTCTCTGCCTGTGAGTTACCAGACGCTTTCTCTGTGCAGAATTAAACCGAGGACGAGTCTGGCAGGCCAGGCTAGGCATCACTTCCATATCAGTGTTACTCTGAGGAAGGCTACAGAGTTAGCCGAAACTTGTTTTCACCTTTCTGTCCTTGTTCTGCTCTCCCCACCTTCCTCAGGATCCACTGATTTCCCTCTTTCCTATTCACTCTCTCTTTTTCTTTACATTTTTTAAATCACAATTGTCTATTTTTGCTCATTTTAAATATATTTTTTATAATATTCTAAATTCTTTTTTATATTTAAAATTTTTAGTTTTTGTAAAGCGCCTCATGATTTTTATGTTGAGAGGCGCTATAGAAAAGACCTCTTCTTCTTTCTTTTTCTTTTTCTTCTTCTTTTTCTTTCTTTTTTCTTCTTTTTCTTTCTTTTTTTCTTCTTTTTCTTTCTTTTTCTTTTTCTTCTTTTTTCTTTCTTTTTCTTTCTTCCTCTTCTTTCTTCTTTTTTCTTTTTCTTCATCTTTCTTCTTTTTCTTTCTTCTTCTTTTTCTTTCTTCTTGTTTCTAATTGTTTGTTCTTCTTTGTTCTTCCTTTTTCTTTCTTGTTTCTTCTTCTTCTCCTTCTTCTCTTTCTTCTTCTTTCTTCTTCTTCTTGTTTCTTCTTTTTCTTCTTCTTTCTTCTTCTTCTTCGCAATAAATCTAAAACAAGTATTTATAACACTGTGTGCCAAAAAACCCCAAATGATAGAACTTGGAAAAACAAGCCAGAACGAATGTACCAGATTTGGAGTGACATGTGTTGACGATTGCTATGTTGTGGTTCTGAGCTTTTCTGGGCATAAGGTTTGGCAACCTGGGGTCTAGGAGTCAAAAACAATAAGAGCATGCTTGCACATCACACTGATGTTGTCTCCATTGTTTCTGTCAAGGTTTGAAGCCAAACTAACTCTAGAAGTTTTATGTTTGTGAGTAGCTTTGGTTCCTTTGCTCATCGTCGATGTTTAGGATGATTTCAATGAGAAATCAGGTGATTTAGTTCTCAGAACACCGTCTGAGTTTTTGCCTGTGGATCATATCGAGGGCTTCTTGTGTATCTGGCATCAGCTGCAGGTTGTAGTTGGTTTCAGTTTAAATGTCTCCAGATAAGCTACAAAGTAGAGAGCCAAAGCTGTGTGCTTCAGATCCACTTGTTTACCTTTAACTGGACGGTTGTACATCTGATACAAACGTTGCTTCTTTGGTATATTTTTAAAGCCAACATGAGGCCTGAATGTGTTGTTTGTGTTTCTGCTCAGGCTTTCTTCTGAAGCTACTGGACTTGCAGCCAACTGACATGGAAGATCTTCATCAGCATCTAATAAACTCCTCCGCCTAATTTTTACCAAGAACTTAATGAACTTAATGCAAAAACCAAGTACTCTAAACTCACTGTTTTCTCTTGCCTTGGTTAGACACATACTTGGTTGTAATTACACCGTTACCGTCATATTGGTATTTTATTTATTTATTATATTTTAAACCTGTTGGCCTACAGAGACTGTCTTCTGTTGTGTTTTTCCTTTTTATTTCTGCTGTAAATCTGTATGGTTTTCTTGATATACTAAAAAAATGTTTTAGAAAAATCTGTAAAGGCATAATGTTTTTTCTTATGTCAGATTTTTCTTAGAAAATGTTAAAATGAAGTTAAAAAAACAATAACAATAAAGATGGACTGTTCTTTCCCTTCCTTTGAAATATATATTTATTTTTATTTAATACACAGTTCCTTGTACAAGTAGAATTCAATATTTGCTATTTGAAGATGTACTTCCTGAACAAGGCATTGTGGGATTTAACGGGTTTTAGTGTGTGAAAAGGAGCTAAATACATATTCAGGAAAAAACTTTGAAGGTAATTTATTTCTTAGTGGGGGGAGGGGTCATAACTTTAAGCTTTGTCACGTTTCACCTCTAACCTGCTCAGTAATTGTGTCATTCCTGTTTCCATTCATTGTATTTGTTGATCCGGACGTTTGAGCTTCATTGTGAACACTGATCAGGGTGGGTGGACCGCGGTCACGAGCAGTGGGCCGGAACATTTTGGAAATGTTTTCTCAGAAATTACCAAGACCATAGTGGTGGCGACGACGATGACTAACATGAAAATGTTTGTTTTGAATAGAGAAAATATTTTTTTTAATGCCGGGCAGGGGAATGCTGCAAGGGTGCAAAACTAAGACATATTGGTCTTTATAAGTATATTATGCTGAAGTATTAAATTATGATTAACTAGAAGAATTAACACTAGTTTCCTGCTATCCTCTTCCGCCTGGGTAAGATTTTATTTTTTTTATTCTTTGCAGGATGAAGAAACTCACTTTTTTGTGCACGTTTTCAAACTATTGTAGATCTGGGTGCAATTAATGTGTTGATAAAATGAAATGCAGAAATAAAAGATGTGAAAAGGCTCTAATTGTTCTCCATCTTCCTTCTGATGAACACAAAAGGTGAAGAAGAAAAGACACTGGAACATTTTGAACATGCTTAGTCATTGAAAATATTAATTTATTTCTGGTTCAGCTGTCTCACGTGATGCAGCAACTATAACATTGTCTCTTTTTTAAATAAACTCCACATATTTGTTATTTTTTTTGTTTTTTAACCATTACATTGTTTACTGTTGCTCATTTCTATGTTACAGATGCAATGCTGTATCAAAACAAACCCAAAGGATACTTATTTTCTAGTAATCACCACAGAGAAGTGCTCTGCTTCGTACTTCCTTCTACTCCTGCAGTACTCTTAAAGGGTCAAAGGAACCAGACAAGGTTTTTAGGAAATCTGCAAACTATGAACCACAGGAGGTAGTTTTGCTTCAACACTTAAAAAGGGGGCCCTCCTGTTTTAGTTCTATCTACTGTGTTGTGTCTCAGCGCTGCTTCAGTAAATGTCAACAGGAAGGAAACCAATTGGTTGGTGCTCTAAGGTGGAAAGCCCTTTTCTAACCCTGTAGTCACATTAAAGTTTAAAACAAAACAAATTTACCCTGAAAGGGGCTTTCTCCACCAATGGAGTCAGAGCTAGCAGCTCTTTGTTTTTCTGGCTTGAGCACCAAATATGTTACATCTTCACACCAAATCTTTACTGGGAATTAAAAAAAATGTGTTGGTTTCACTGCCTAATTTAATACCAAATATTCCACTTTGACACGTTATGTGCTTATACACCTCTAATTAGAGGGTCCGAGAAGAGCATAGAGCTGCCTCCACCACAGCGGTTTTCCCACAGATTCATGAACATGTTTGAAACATCGTTCAAAACATTCTCAGCTGTTTTAATATCACTAACTGGTGTTTATAAATCTTATATGAGTTGTGTTTGCAGTGATGGTAACGACCAGTTGGAGATCAGTAAAGAGCGTAGAGACACTTGTTGAAAACTGTTTATAAAACTGGTGATTTTAATTTAAAAGAACTAAAAAAATGTCTCCTACAGAAACTTAACCAGCAGGAGGATCAAACATTTAGTGGAGGTGACTTTTTAAGTGATGTGGGTCCAAGTTGGTGAATAACCAGTTAAGACCCAGCTTCATTACCACACCTGACCTGGTCTAGAACTGGAACTCCATTGGTGGAAGAAACCCTGTCAATGTTAAAATCTTATGAAAGCGGCATTTCAATAAATTATTTTTGGGGGGGAGGGGGGCTCTCAGTGCTCAGTGATTTGCACCAGAACTTCAGTTTTACAAGTAAGGAGATGTAGTGATATTTAAAAAAAGACAGTCCTCCTTCTGCAACACCAGTTGTCCATGAGTGTGACTCTTACCGCCCAACAGTGCTTTGCTATTTTGTTGGGAGAGTTTATGCAAAAGCAACTTGTTGCATAAACTCTTGGGAGTAAAAGTCTGAAGATTCTGTTTCTTAAGAGCCAACGGATCTTAGACCTGCCACAGGAATAAAAGTAAACAGGTAATCTGCTGCATCTCCCAAACTAATGTTGCCCATTAAACCAAAAATGCTGCCATCGTAATGGTTTTAGGGCGGTACAATCAAAGCGGCGGGACACGTGGAGAGTGTACCACAGTTTAAGTTCCTAGACATGGAGCCTGAGAAGGAACTGAATGGAGCCAACACCAACGAGCTACTGAATGAGTCATGGGAGAGACTTTACTTCTGAGGCTTTAAAGGGGAAGAGCCGCTCCACCACACCGGGTACAGCATAGAGCTGCCTCCACCACAGCGGTTATGTTTAAACCATACCGCCACAGAGAAAAACGGGCTCCGCAGGGTAATCAGGACAATAGAGAAGATCATCAGAGGTACCCTCACCACACTGGAACAGATACACCTCACGCTGCCTGAAGAGAGCTAGAGTCCTCACAAGACACATCACACACACACACACACACATATATATATATATATATATATTTATATATATATATATATATATATATATATATATATATCTCCAAACTCCCACTGCCTACAGACAGTTGTGTTTACTGTTTTTGTCTTGCTTTTTTCTAATTCTCTTCACCAGATTGTGTAATCCCATAGCTGAGTCATGTCCACCCCTAATCTCATTGTACTTTTAGTATAAAAAAAAACATAAAATATTTCATTAGATTTTTTTTTCATGTTTTAAATCTGGCAGATGTTGCCCTCAACACATCTGGTTAAACAAGTGGGGGCTGAAACCGCAGCAGCATTCTGTGAAGAAGCTTGCAGGACCTCCTAAAGTACTCAACCTGCTGAATTAACACCAGCGTTCTTTCATACCTCATAAAACCTCACCCACATTATGCTTGTGTGTGCAATCCGGTAAAAGGGTTTTTAAAAAACGACTTCTCTGCTGACGTCCCTGTTTTTGCATTGGTGATATTTTTCTCTTTTCCTTGAGTGATGACATATATTAACAAAAAGATAAACAAATAGATGAAGAATTTTAGGATTAAAAAGTGTAAACTTCCACGGAATAGAAAACAAAGACATCGGAGCCGTAAATAATAAACATGTAGTCATGCATTTGTGTACAGGGCTGCATACAGTTAAGTCTTATATTTTATCTTACAAATAAAATAAAGTTAAATATTTCTCATGTGGCACATAATGACTATTTACATTATTTTTCATTAGTATTTGATGCATTAGTGTGATGATGGAGGATGCTCCCAGAGTGAAGGTTAAAGTGTTTAAAGGAGTGAAGTATCTTCTTGTGCGTGCGTGTGCGTCTGATGGAGGGTTTTTGCTGAACTGGCGTTGTAGCTAAGGTTACAGTGGTAACTATTATACCTAAGACACCCCTACTGAACTTAAATGACACATATCTGATGTCACAAGTTGCCAAAATATTTAATGTCAGGTTATGACAAATGTCCTGTGTCACTTGCCCAACAACAAACTTAGGAGGCACCAAAAGTCAACTTGTCTGAGCGTGGCGTTGGGTGTGATCCCTCATGACAACAGTAATGTACTGCACTGACAGATTGGCGAACATCTGTGGTGGTGGCTGGAGATCTTGGCTTTTGTCCAGGAGTCTATGGAGGTCCCGTGTGGGGCGTCTGTGGACACCCCTGATAGGGTTGAGATGGCGACACCCACGCTCCGGCGCTGGGGGGACGGCTGGGCTCGCCGCTGCCAGACTGATCCAGCTCGGCGCTGTCGCAGTCAGAATCATCACACAAGGCCCGGTTCTGTAGAGCGAGTGGATAGTGCATCAGACAGGCTTTTACCCACAGCATCTGGGCTGAGGAATGTGTAAAAACAGCATCTACACCGCAACACAAGGATGCTTCTTCTATTACTACAAACACACACAAGTTTTACCCAAATATGCAGATGAACAAACCCACACAGCATGTAAACAGTGTTATCCATCAAAGGAAAAATGTTCAGCTGCCTTTAAATAAAACTAAGGCAGATTAAAAATCATCCAACTTAATGTAGCTGAAGACTGAAACATGGTTTCCTGATGCATTTGGCTACTTTTTGCACCATGTGCAGGGGCGGTGTTAGGCCCGGCTACTTGGGCTGAAGCCCCGGATGTTTCATGAAAAGCCCCGGATCTAAATCGCGGAAGTAACATGCAGTACCAAAGTCCAACAGAGAGGGAGCAGCTGGCAGTAGTTTGTTTATAGCTTGCCTGAGCCTCCACCACTGAAGAAGCCCTTCAGCAGCCGGCTTCTTCTACACTCTCTGCCTGAAACGCATGAGTGAAGATGGACATAAGGACGTTTTTTAGACAAAAAGTACAACGACAGAACCCCAGCTTTGATGAGACTGGTGTTGACTCAGGTTTGTGAGTCTTATTTGAAAATATTTGATGTGCTGCTGGTTTGCCTAAAGTTAGCTTACCATCAGGTTAAGAGGTTGGAGAAAGAAAGGGAATATTTACTATCATCTCACACTAAACACTAATAGGAACAATACTCTGCCCTGAAAATGCTTAATATGTAGCTTCAGATTAAAAATTATGTGGTACAAGACATATATGATGTTGACTAGTGCGTGTCACGTGTGTGTGTGTGTGTGTGCGCGCGCGCGCACCGTGTGTGTGTGTTAACCCCCGGATCTTCTTCAGTCCTAAATCCGCCCCTGGCCATGTGTCACATTTTTTCTACTCCTCAACTTCAGTGTCTGGTGACAAGAAACCTGCCTGCAGCATGATGCTGCCACCACCGTGCTTCACTTCGAGAATTGTGGGAGAATTTTGTGTTAAGTCAAGTTTAGTCTTCTCTAAATATAATGTAGGTACATCTCCTAAATGTTTGACAAAATGGAAAATGTGTTTCTGAATAACTTGAAGCACATTTTTTTCTACGGATTGCTGCATCTTAAAGCTATACTGTGTAACTTTTTCATATTTTAAAATAATTTTCTTGAGCCCTTTACAAGGTTATTGAAATGTCACTCAGACCCCAGTCTACCTGCTGGTGGAGGGAGCTGACATGGTGGAGCTGCAGTCTGCTTCCAGCACGTTTCCTGCATGTTTTGGATCGTGAACACAGCTCATTTGTCTAGAAACTAATGAAGGCTGAGGAGACATTTCAGCAGTTAGATTAAGGTGTTAAAAGACAAATGCTCAGCAAGGAGATAGGTTTCACTTTTGCTTTGACCACAGAGCATTAATAGCAGACACTAGGGGGTGCTAAAAGCAAGCAAACTGCCAAGTGTGCCTATTAAAGTGTGAGTTATACAATGGGTGGAAACTTATTTCAACCAGACTTCCTGCTAGAGAAATACCTGGAGAAAGGGAGTTGCCTGGAGGATTGAGAGAGCAGCACTGAGGCAATGATTGGCAGCACTCCCCTCAACCCCTCCCCTTTCTCAGTCAGAAAAGAGTCGTTAACACTCGCCGTGCACAAGAGCACACACAAAGAGCAGACTCGCCACTCAGGAGAAGAGCAGAGACAGAAACTGACTGCAGGAAAGAGGATTTCCTTATCACCTCCTTCGTTAGAAAAATGAGGACGAGGACGCGGCTCCGAGCGCCAACATGTCATATCAGCATGTGAGTGGTTGAGTCAGGTGGAGGTGTGACGAGACTCAGAAGGAGTCCAGTGCAGTGCAGCCATGTAGTACTGCGCTGACGTCACCCTGCAGCGCTATAGTAATTAGCTGTGGCTGGTTCTAAATACATGTGGAGCAGAGTTTAAACAATTAAAGATGGCCTCTACATATAGCATAAGAGTGTCTTTAACTCAGTCCGTTGTCCATAGAGCTAGTTGTGGAGAGTTATTAACAGATTTTAGTTTTTATGCAGTTGACGAAGAACTGGAATAACATCAGAGTAGAACATCATAAAATTCAGTTTGTATTTCACAAATAGTTTTGCTCCATCATGAAAAATGCCATTTTTAAACAGTAATCACTTTAGAAACTCTACATATTTGTTGGCAGTGCAATTGTTTCTCCAACAAAAGGCGCTGCCATCATTTAACGAGGCTCTGCCAGACTCTTGTGAAAAAAAAACTGTAAAAAGTTCGTTTTTTTGCCAACTGAAGCAAGTTAGTGTTGGATTATTGGTTTAAATATTGTTTCAAAGTGACTAAATTTAGTTCTTTAAAATCTCTGTTATCGGTTTTGTGTTTGCTGAGCTGGAAACAGCTGTAACATTGGAGCTTTTTTGTTATTTTGGTCTTGGACATGACAAACACACCCGAACCTCTGCAGAGCTCCTGTACCTCATTAGGATTCTGCCCGGCGTCCAGCGGAGCTTTGCTCTGCCCCACAGCTCCGTCCCTCTCTGACAGGCCGTCAGAAACCTGCGCAGGATCGGTGTTGTCCACCGGGATCTCCGATCCCTGAGAGAGGAGGTCATCGCTGCGGTCGTCCAGCCTGTCATCTGTGTTGGTGCTGACCACATCGGGGGTGCCGCTATGGGAGTGGTCAGTGGTGTGACCCTCCTCACCATCGGATACAGACAGGTTCTCTGAACTGAAGGTAGATACCGACTGGCACTTGGTTATGCTGGTCGGACGCCTGGTGGAGCCAAAAGGACAAAAAATAAAAATATAAACCAGACACAAAAAGTTTAGAAAATGTGAAAGAGCGATGTAAACTTGAAATTATTCTTAATTCTCTTATTAAATCTGTTATTTGTCAAATACAGGAGACAGCTTAAGGGAATTTTCCAAAGATGGAAGACAGGATGTTACTCACCGTCTCCGTGGCAACTCAACCTCACTGTCAACTTCCCCCTCTTCTTCTTCTGATGACACTCCACGCCTCTGTAATCCAAATCAAAGTGAAGGCACAAGTAAAGCACGGCCCCTGGGTGTCAGAGTGAGAAATGTGGTCACATTTTATACAATGTCTACACCGCACCTGTTTGCGTGTGATAGCTGCCCGATACAAAATAGCTGAAGGTGTCAGATGCTGAGTCCCGACCCCTCCTGAGGACCCCCGAGGTATCCTCAAAACACCAGCTCCGTCCTCTTTGTCCTCCCCATCATTAGAAAGACGAGGAGATCCAATGGATCCTCTTCCTGCTGCTGCTCCCCTCCCACATGGCGAGTCTGGGCTGCTGGAAAAAGGGAACGATGCTGCATCCTCGCTGGGAGTGTCACTGCGTGGAGGAGTTTCTGTGAGGTCATCCAGACCAGTGGCTCCTCCCTCTGACCCCCCTAAACCAGCAGAGGCACTGAGGCTTCCCCCTCTCTCCAGCCTGCTAGCAGAGGGCTCCCCTTTCCCCTGACCCCCGGCCTCCAACGTGGTGCAGATGAGGTCAGGGCTAGAGGAGGACAGCTGCCTCTGCTGCTGCTCATGACCAAGACCCCGCAGGGCTGCAGACGGCTCCAGAAGCTGCTTGGAGGTGTTAGTGCTTGAGCTGTTAGCCTGGGCACTCGGATCTGTGTTAGGAGAGGCTTGGTTCGCCTTGAGTCCAGCCAGATCCCCGCTGCTGCCCTTTCCGGGCTTGCGGTGGCGGGTCTTTAGTCTCCGAGACCGGCTGGGAGAAGTGGAGTTCCTGTTGGAGCAGGCTGGGATGGTGACTTGCATCACGGAGGAATCTATTTTGGGAATGATTACCTCAGACTTTAGGATGTCTGGCCTAAAAGAGGCAGAGGAATTAGTCAACGACTGCAAAAGTCACTTAAAATGTATTTATCCATTTAATCTGAGATGGGACCTCACACCTCTTTCCCGGGGGCAGCTTCTGAGGAACGTTTCTCTTCTTGATAAGTTTGTCCATGGAGTTGGAGGAGCTGCCCTGTCTGGAGCTGTGGTGCTTGAACAAGCCTGGATACTTTTTATCCAAAGACTGCTCCCTCCTGAAAGCATGTTTTTAGAAATTGTGTTTATTGCCGTGCTTACCATTTTTCAAACGCTCTCCAGTGATTTCATTAGTACCTCTGTAGCTCTTTCTCTTTGAGCTCCAGCTGCAGCATCACTGCACTGAGCTCCATGTAAAGGTTATTAGCTCTCTCCAGTTTCCTCTCGTAGTGCTCACGAATGTCCAGAGCATGCCTGAAAACATAAGGAGTGGCTCGTGTCATTGTGTGAGGAGGCAGCAGGAGGCGACGTGTCCCATACAGTTAAAAATATTTGCTAGTTTCTAATGATCTGTTAGATGCATCAGTTGTGTGAGTGAACCTGAGCTCCTCTCTGCGTCGGTTGATCAGTTCCTCGTCAAGTCGGTGCAGACAAGTGCCCTCAGATTTAATCTTCTCAAAGTGCTGCTTCACCTCCTCTCTCCATTCAGCCTGGTGAGAACATACTTCTATTAACTCCCTCTGTCCAGCCCAAGAAGATTTTAGACGCTGATTTCTATTTTCAGTAGCATTTATCCAAATCTTAGTGTAAAATGTAGCCTTAAATATCTGTGAAAATATGGCTTTATTTCTGGTTTATGTTGTTTTTGAGTACCTCAAAAAATAAAAAAGGGACAGATTAAAAAGTTTGCATGCCCTGTGTGAGGGGAAAGTCATATTAAATTAAGGAGGAACTATAAGTTTTGGCTCGCTTTCAGCACATGCTAGTGTCCATTTAGAAGAACCAAAAGCAAATCCAATCTCCTTGATGTCTTTTCAACACCTTAATCGAACAGGTGAAATGTCTCCCAGCCTTCATTTACGTCTACAGAATTGATTCATCACTAAATTAAACAAATCAGCTGTGTTCATGATCTTAAACATGCAGGAAACGTGCTGGAGCCAGACTGCAGTGCCAGGTGTGTCAGTTAAAGTCCAACAGGTGGCAACCACCAGTCTGAAGTTGCAAATGCGGCATTTTGGCCACAGAGGGCAGTGGGGGTCTGAGTGCCTTTCATTAACCCTGTAAAGAGTCATTTAGCTCAAGAAATTTATTTCAACTATGAAAAGGTTGACTAGTATCCCTTTAATAAATGCCACCGCTTATTGTATTTTTTGAAATAATTTTGTTCATGTGATTTCCTCCCTTTTCTTTGCACTAGATGCTTTTAGCTCATGAAGATTTATTTATTACTATTTTGCTTTTATTTTTTTTACTGTCATTTAAACCAGGAGCTTTCACAGCTTTTAGCTGTTGCACCGGCTGAAGTAAACCCATAACGTCACTAATTTGTGCTGCAGAGGCTTTATTTTTATGAAATTGTGTTTTTTTATGTGTCCTTACTGGAGAAAAGTGTTTCAAATAAAAAAGTTCTAACTTTATTTATCTACTGAACCTCTGCAGTCCTCACCTGAAAGCAACTGAAGCTGAGTTTTGCAGTGAAGCAGCAGAAATGTGTTTTTTTTAATAAGTAAAAGTTGTGCTCACGTTGCTTCATAGTAGATCAGTAAACTGCCACTCCCTCTCTTACTCTTAGTGTTTTCAGCCCAGTGAAATTTTGATCTGACCTCCACTCATCCTCTCACCCACCACAGTTTAATGACATTACAACCTGAGCTTCTGCCATCCTGTTACATGGTTCTCCTTCTTTATTTGAGTGCAGGCAGCTGTTAAGATTAGACCATCATTGTTGGGAATTAAAAAAAAAAACTTTTAATGAAATCTACTTTTATAAGAGTGAATGTAAAAAAGACACTTCTAGAAAACTAAGTGTGTTCTCTAAATACCATACATGAAGGTGTCTGTAGTGTTTCACAAATTTATTTAATTTCATTGTGTGAGTATTTACATAAACAGATTAAAGAGCCTTTTTCCTCCTACCTGGGATTTAAAGTATGTTTCTTGTGGGGTGGATAGAACATCAGCTGATGCTATATCCAGATGAAGAAGGATCTGACGGAAAGAGGGCCTATTTCTAGGTTTACAGTTCCTGCAAACCCAAAATAGGAAACACAGCTGTGAACACTTTATCGTGCTGGAAAATCAATGGATGCTTTAAACTACTGGCTAACTCCTCCTCAAGCAACTCCACTCAGAAACTCCAGCTTTCTTGGTACAAAGTGTCCGATTCCAGGCGCTGCTCACCAGCACTGTCTGAGGAGGACTTTGAAGCCGTCCGGGCAGCTTTCAGGTACCGGCAGCTGCAGGCTATTGTTTCCCACTCCCCAGATGATGGCAGACGAGTCAACATCTTTGTAAGGAATCTCCCCAGTCAGCATCTCCCACAGCACCACTCCGAAGGACCTTTAGGATGAGCCGTGCTTTAGTTTGAGGCAATAATTTAAACAGAATATATATATCAAATATGGAATTAATCTGTATGTCTGACTCCTTGGGAACCACCAGCTCACAACTGCAACTAGTCATGTGGACTCATAGATTAGAAGTAAGTGTTAAAGATGTGGTTCGCTCATTTTCTAGTAGGAATTAAATCCTTCAAAGTCGTACTCTGGGTACAAAAAGCCCTGGTGTGCCTGTTTCAGGATCTAAGATTGAAGAGAGCTTTACACGGCAGGATTTGGTGTCTTACTTCCTGATATTTGGGCATCTCCCCTCTGATTGGATAACAGCAACTCACTTTACCATTGATTCTTTTTGTTTGCAATGTTGATGTTTTGTTTCCAGAAAAAACAAAACCCTGGGAGAAGTTCTGCTGTGTGGTGGAGTTGCTAATGCTAACAGTTAGCTTCTACTAGCAGAGATGTTCTCTGCTGTTTCCCGGATGCTAAACCAACAACAGCCTTCCCCGTTGTGAGTCAAGATGGATGAGTTCATCACAGTGGCAGTGTGACGTAGATATGTCCGGGTTTTCTAATCCTAGAGTTTCACTGTCTTTTTCTGTCAGAAGCTAACGCAGGAGATAGGTTTAGGAGACTATTTTTATGTTCAGCCTCCATGAAAAACTCTTAGTGATTGATTATAATTACAAATATAACTTAAAATGTTTTTTTCAGTGAACCACACCTTTAAATGTTCACATGGAATAAAAAAATGATGCATTTCAAATAAAGGGGAAGAAAATTATAATCAGACGTACCAGATGTCCACTTTTTCTGACACCGGCTCGTTCCGAATGACTTCAGGAGCCATCCAGGCGACGGTCCCAGCAAATGACATCTTAGTGCTCTTGTCACTGAGTTCCTTTGAGGTGCCAAAATCAGAAATCTTCACCATGTCATCATGTGTGATCAGCATGCTGGGGGAAAAGAAAGTTGTAAATTTCACGCTCTGAAACAAAGAAGTTGGCGCCGAGCTGAGGAGGCCAGCTCTTACTTGGGAGACTTGAGGTCTCGGTGGATGATTTTGTGGAGGTGGAGGTAGTTCATGCCACCTGCGATACCCATGGACCAGTCTACCAGGAGGGAGGGTGTGATCTTACGACCCACCCTAAGAACCTCATACAGCTGGCCTTGGGCACAATACTCCATCAAGATGCAGTAACAAGGAGCCTGAGTGCAAACTCCCCTGGAAATGAAGCAAAATGTTCAGGTGAACAATCAGAGTTAAAAAGTTATCAGAGTCAAACATCAGAGCCAGCTTCCTCACTTGAATGTGATGATGTTTGGGTGTTTGAGTTTTCTAAGGTGTTTGATCTCCGTCTCTTTGATGTCCCGCACTTTCTTCACAGCTACCTCATCTCCGTGCAACCTTCCGAGGAAGACGGCGCCCTGCGCCCCACTGCCCACCCACTGCAGGTCCGAGATTTCTTCAAAGGGAATCTCCCAGGACTCTAAACTCAGAGTAAAAAGAGAAAAATGATGCTTAAACACGAGACCGTAAAATGTTACACAGAATAACAGATGTGTATCAATAAACTTCTTGTAGCAAATAGTCTATTACAATCACATGTTGCCAAAGTCCAGGCCAGCAGGACCAAAGTGCATCATACCTGTCATCTAGAGAGATGGTTTATGGACAGCTTCTCAAACAAACCATTACATTTATGTCCAGAGACAAGAAAAAGCTGAGGACAAACACAAAAATCCACTCAGAGACTCCTCTGTCTGCCATCGGTTACACGGGCATTGCTTAAATAACTGTGAAGGCTTGGTCACTAAAGACGGCCAACCCTTGCAGAGGAAAAGAGACAGGGAAATAAATTCTTCATGAGGACTGCTGAAGGGTCTGGATCTGTAGGGAGTATCAGCAGAGCAGGCAGATGAAGCTCCGCCCCCTCCAACAGCTGTCAAAACTCTAACTGATGATGTTTGTGGAGCTGATAACACCGAGACCAAGCTTTCAGACAAAGCTCTGCTACATCTCAGGTTATTTTACACGTCTATGTTTTACCTCACAGCCAGACTTCCTTGTCAAACAGAAATTTAATCAGAATTAGATTAAAGGATTCAAATAAAATTCTTGGTTGACAGTTAAAACCAACAATTACTAGGCTTTTTGACGGTGTTTTGTATCCTCAACAGATTTAGTCAAAAGAAAAGGAGACCCATTAGTTCACAAGAAGTAGAGTTTCTGATCAGAAGGAAGGCCTGAAGTTATTTTCTTTGCCCACTGAAACAAGTTTTCAGTAACTTAAAAGAGTGATGCACTCATTTAACCAATATATTTTCAGTGGTCTCTAATAGGAATAAATACCTTGTAAGTTGTTCTCGGGAGGAGAAATATACCGGTGCACCATTTCTCTGACCTAAAAGTTGCCCACATCACAGCTGAGCTTCAGACGGCAGGTTTTGGGGTCTTTTTTCCTGATATTTGGACATCTCACCCCGGATTGGATAACAGCCACACAACTCTACCAATGACTTGCAACGCTGATGTTTTATTACCACAAATAAATCAAGCCTGAAGGAGCTTCTGCTGTGTGGGGGAGTAGCTTATGCTAACAGTTAGCTTAAACTGGCTGAGATGTCCTGCACTGATTCCCGGACATTAAAACATCAGCAGCCTTCCACGTTGTGAGTCATGATGGGTGAGTCGATGAATCTTCAGTGACAGTGTGACATAGATCTGTCAGGCTTTTCAAATCCTGGATTTTCACGTCTATCTTCTATCAGAAGCTAACGCAGGAGATAGGTGTAGGAGACTATTTCATGTTCAACCTGCATGGAAATCTGAGAGTGACAGAATATAGTCAGAAAACAACATTTAAAAATTGCTTTTCGGTCAACTACACCTTTTTTGGAACTAATCAGTCAAATGAAAGCAGCAGATGTTTTCTTTCCCCATTTTTTTTCCAAACACACCACAGATTCAGAGACCACCTTGGTGGGACGTACCTTCATGGTTGTGCTTGTGTTCAGTAGAGTAGGCCTTTCCAATCATGGTCCAGACTGGTTTCAGGCAGCCAAACAGTCCCTCCAAAAAACCACCGCTCCCCGACTGAAGTCTAATGCTCTCCGATGGTCTCCGAACAGCACCAGCCTCTGGACTGTGTCCTGCCTCGGCCCCGCCACCGCACTGGCAGGCCTCATGTTCGTGTAGTTTTAGCACGCTGTTGTCAAAGTGGCCCGACGGCCCATCGCTGGGGCTGGGGCTGCTTCCTCCTTGGCCCACTGGTACGCTGGGTTCAATGGACAGTACGTTACGAAGTACACACTGCGTTGGGGTCAGGTCCGTTTCTGGGGTACAGGCAGGGGTGTCTCCATCGAGTCGTCGATAGGGAGGTTCTGAGATGGGGGTGCTGAAGCCTGACAGGGAAGGGGAAGGGGCACGGGGCTCATGGATACAGGTCCCACTCATCAGGGGTTTCCCCAAAACAGCAGGTTAGTGAGGTGGAGGAGAGGAGGAGAAAACCTGGAACAGATTAAAGACACCACCAGTTATAATATATAATGTAATGTATAACTCCTCAGTTAACATCAGCGCAATATCCAGTAGTGTTCAACACTTGTGCAATTCCAAATGTACAATAATATGTCTGTGTCCCTTATGCTGCGAAGTTCTGCTGTGTCTTTTTATTCACTGTTTTTAGTGCATGAAGGTTACAGTGGTAGTGTATTGCCTTTGTGTGTTCACCAAAATCTTTCCCTTCCTTTTCTCTAAGTGTGTGTGCTGCTGTAATGAGTGAATCTTCCTACTGTGGGATTAATAACGTCTATTCTATCCTAATCATGTATTTGTTCAGATTAAATGCAGAACTGGACAGTTCCGCACATGAAGCTACACAGAGGAGCTGTCCGGTGCTGAAACAAGTCCCTAGCAAAAATCCGAGTAGTCGTGAGTGGATTTGGGGATTCAGCCAGTCACTATTCTATTTCCAGATCCTGTCTGAATCATAGTGGTTCTGTGTGTGAATGGGCCCAGTGCAGCCATCACACCCAGTGGAGATGTGCTTTATGAATGAACCCAGACTGTCAGCTGCTTTCTTCCTGCCCCAGAACCACAGCGAATTGCGCGCCACCGTGCACCAAGTCAAGACCATTGTGTGTGATCAAGAGTTGCATAACCTCCCTGCCTGTGTATATTTGCGCGTGCACGTGCACATGTGTGAGAACAGGAGCAACAGGAGCAAAAGCACATGTGGCCAGTGCATGTACTCACACTGCAGCACCGCACAAGGGAAGCCAAAAGCAGAGCGTGAAAAAACGGGCAATAAACATCCAGCGGGCGGGCCTGTGCGAAGGAGGCGCGCGCGCGCACGCACACACACACACACACACTCTCTTTAAATAACTGAGGATGTGATGATGACACTCCGCAACATCATGAGCTGCAGGCTCCTGTCCTACTATGGTCCAGGGGGAACTACCGCAGCGGCTGCACATGAACCCGACGTCAGCATCACAAATACCCCGTCATGTGCGCCTTCTGAGAGCACAGATATGGTTTTATAGCGCTGATCGACGATTACTGGCTTATTGGCAGCATCGGCTCAGTGGTGCAGTGTGTGTGAGCGGCATGATCAAGCCACCGCACCGAGCCACGGCATCCTGCCTCAACGCTTCCCTCAGCGTTATTACCCGGATAGCGTGACATTCCCATACCTTTCTGCCTGCTGGATGTCGCGTTTCCCAGCGAAGGGGTGGGCTCAGCTTTCTGTTTGTCCGCCCTGCTGCGCTGTTTGTTGTTTTCCGTCGCTCATGGTTGCCTCTCCGGATTCCCAGCGCCTTTTCCCCGCTACTTCCATCTCACTGGGACGGATCCCAGCAGCTAAAATGTGTTACCAGTAACCGGGGAGCCATGCAACGTGAGGCGCGCTGTGTTCTTTTGGGGAGGGGGGAGGAGGAGGAGGAGGAGGATGGAAGTGTGTCTCCTTCCCAGTGCTCAATTGACGTCACGGAAGAGTGAGTTGCGCCGCCAAGGGGCGCCAAAAAACCCACCTCAAAAACGAGACAATTTTCATCAACACATCCATATTTTCTCCATTCGCAAAATCTGTCGGTTCACTAACTCAGATGGACCGGGAACCGGGTACTGATACTGCCGATGTGCACTTCAGCAAGGCACAATGAATCCCTCTGGTTGCTGGGATGCTGGTATTTCACTGAGCAGCACACGTTTTTCACTAAATATGAGGCTACTTCATTGGTATATTCCTGCAAATAAGAATAATTAGCAGTCTTTGTCAACAATAACCTTAGAAATGAATGAACTACAAACAACTGGAATTTCAACTAAATTACCAAACATTTTCACATACAGCATAGTCAGTAGCAATGATAAAATGTTAATAACTCACAAAACACTGCACCAAAGAAAGTAAAGCAACAACAAAATAAAGTTTCTAAATAGAATGTTTTATAAAACAGCAAAGTGTAGATCTTGATCTGTCTTTTCCAATTTATCTTCAAATAACGCAATAAGGACATGCTTGGAATTAGATTGAATAAATTAATCAATACAAATTATGTTTTGATATTGTTCTCTTCCCATGAACTTAGTCAACAAAAAAAAAAAAACAATTCTATGGTGAGGGGTTTATGTTGGGCTTTGTGTTATTAGAAAAAGCTCCAAGTGTTTATTTCTTAATCCACTGGCTTGTGGTGTTACTGTGGGCCTGTGCCCTGCAGAAGGTAGTATGTCCCTCTCAGCTTACCTTAGAAAGACCACAAGGAGATTAGTAAAGGAGGGCTTCCAACCATAGACATCATAGGGAGTCTAATCTATGTCTGAACCATGGATCCACTTGAAAAATTAATGGGAAATCTATGATGGGATTTTCTGATCCCATTTGATGGGTGCCATGGATTTCACATATGATGTCTGAATTTTTAAAGACACATTTTGATGCCAAGAAACTGCTTATTTTCGAACCGCAACAAAAGTTAGTTTAGGTTTGTCTCACCATATTGACGTCATCAAACTAGACATATAGAAGAGAAGATTAGCTTAGAGAGCTTCAAATCCTTCTTCGGGGATGAAAGAAGGAGCATTAAACGTTGAGAAAGCCACTATAAATCTGGTCATGTAGTAAGTAGCAGCTATGCTAGGGAGAAGAGAGTCTGTGGTGATGTCATTTATGCGACATTTGATTTGTAGTTACTTTAATTATGAATTTCCAGAGCTGTATCTCCTCGATCTAAGCCAACAAAATAAAAGCTAGGAATTTAAATACTACTACTTTAGATTATCTAACACATCTTTGTGCTGAAGTACAAAATAAAGAAACATTTCAAAGCTAACAGTGTTTTGTGCCAAGCTTCCAGATCTGCTTTTGAATAGCTAACAAGCTGTGGGGATGACAGTCCTCAGAATCAGCTGTTTAGACTTTACAAAGCTAAAGCTTTGAGGGTGTAACTGGATCTCTTCTATGTTTTGCAGGTTAATGCTTATCGCAACGACACTGTTCATCTTTGCAGATTAAGGTATGCTCCATTTATCCTGACAAGAAACAGAAACACAAGCAAGCGGCATTAGAGGCTACCACCTACCTACACAACGCATTTTGTGTAATTATCATGACAAGACCTTTACTGCGGGTCACACACAAAACTACACACCACACCGGTGTCAGTTTCACAAACATTTGTTTTTCAGGACTGATCTGCAGCACAGTTGTCCTCCTCGTTGCCGCCACTACTTGGCCAATGCTTCTCCCTCGGCTACTCTTTCCCCGCAGCTGCGCTGATTCAAATTAAAAGCCAAGCATGTAAGTCATTAGATAGCTATAACTTGTTCGTGTCTGCACATATTGGACAGATAATCACTTTTTTATTCTGTCATGAGATTTTGTCTGACGCGATGGATTATCCACCAGAACTCTCTTTGTAGCTGGTAACTATTGCCTTTATCAGCTGGAAACGTGTAAATTTTTGTGTTACTGCCCTTCTTTTGTCTATTTGTGCAGCCTACAGCATTACAAGTGTTGATCATGCTGATAGATATTATTTTAGCCACATTTTAGCCAAACTGATTGCTGTGATTAGCAAAACCCAAAGCTGGTCAAGTCTGCAGAGGCGCTAATGGATCGTGGCTATGCAGAGAAAAATACTTTTGCGTCTACGGTCTGTCTAGATTTCTAGACTGATGCTTTCTAGCACTCTCTGCAGAACAAGCATCACTGCCACCTAGTGGTCGAACACAACTTTTCTCCTCACTCTGAAAAGAAAAGTACATCCCACAGAATTCTAACGCAACAAGCAAAATCATAACTCAGAGAAAATGTTTTACATTTTTGAATCTGTTATACTTCTTTTCACTGTTTCTCTTTTTTTTTCTTTTAACACCCATACGATCATGTCACATAGTCCTGAAGTCAACATGAAGGTCATCTCACATGAGCTGGAGCAATTGGTATCACAGCAGGAGTGTTTGGTTTGCATGTAATACGTCTAACATAGAAGATTCGGGAACAACTGTCTTTGTAGGAGTGTTAGAACAAGTCCGGTGTGAAGCATGCAACTTTCAAACTTCTTGTAACACACAACTTCCATGAGTTAGCTGTTTTCATGAGTAATGGTTCAGAGTCTCGGCTGCTCTTTGTTAACCTGAGTCAGTTTTTGAACATGAACACTCTCTCCCTCTAGAAAGAAAGGAACACATGCACCATGTCTCTAATCAGTTGTGTTTAGCAGCAACTGAGTTGGACACATATGCAACAGCAGTCTCTTAAGCAACAGGAGGCATAACATTCAAAAAGTGTGCATTTTCCTGCCATGATGCAGCTCAGAAAGTGGCATTTCTGTGGTAGAATGAGGTGTGAAATGCAGGAAATCTGTCACAGTCTGTTAGTCTCAAAAGGATCTATGACATCATTGCCACTTTTTCCCATGGATGATATAGAAATGATACCGGAACGAGTGGAACAGCAGCAGGAACTCCGGTTTTATGACTACCTTGACATAGTGGACACCAGAGGTATGGACTCGAGTCACATGACTTGGACTCGAGTCATTATTTTAATGACTTCTGACTTGACTTGATAAAATCTATAAAGACTTACGACTTGACTCTGACTTAAACGCCAATGTAGCGTCTTGAATGGCCTCTAATTTGTGACAAAGGTCACATTTTCCCAGCTGGGTCAAGCTGGGTCGAACTGTAACTTTGCCCCACAGATTAACCCGCCAGGAGTCGTGATGTCTGCTGAAACATCTTTATCTGCTGCTGTTCCGTCCCAAGATGAAGGACACTTCAAGATTTTACAATAATAATTTTAAATAATAATTTTAATAAACTCTTTGACTTTATTACTGTTTATTACAATCATCTTAAATCTTGGTTCAGTATAAATGTATTTTAATTACTGAAATGACTTATTATACTTTGGGTTACAATAATAATCAAGTAATGTGTGTCCAGTAAACCAGAAGGTCATCTTGCACGTTTAACCACCTCACGCAGAGGGTATCCAGGGTAAAGTTGAAACCACCTCACATGTCTTTATTTCATGACCAAGCTTTCTGATGCTGAGAGGGCGTGTTCTGAGTTTTGTTAAAATAAACCTCCCGCAGCTATAAGGTCAGTTCTTGAACAATACCAGGAGACGAGGGACGGCTGCCCAAGTCTCTACTAAGCATTCTGTCACGCCGATAGTCTTGCTTCGAATAAACGCAACTGTAACCAGCTGACGCAAAACTCCTTCAGAGTTAAGTCAGACGCTCGACACCGCAAACCCTGCGACATCTCTGGACCAGAGAGTCGTTCCACTCGGGTCTTCTCTACCGGACCGAGTACCCCTGAGGCTGACAACATCATCCTTGACCTCCAGATCCACACAGAGGGTCGTCTTGCTGGGTGAGGTAGCACACAGATGGTGTCTGATGCTGTTCTTTCTAAAACCAACTGAGTTAGCTGCAATACAACTTTCAACCCAGAACACTTCTCTCGCTGAAAGAAACCTTCTGAGATTCATTCACGCATCCAAAACCTCGCATTTCATTTTAGCTTCCATTCAGTCACAGGTTTGCTTTTTAAAACAAGTTTTAATATCAAATTGTCTGTTAAAAACTGTCATTTCTAAATTGTCATTTCAAATTGTCATTTTTAAAAGTGTTAGTAATAAATTCTTAACTTTTTCAAAAACTCTGACTCTTCTTTGAAATGAAACACAGAAATGATGTATATTTTTGGTTATTGAATAAGCAAATATTCCTTTAAACTTCTGATTTAATAAATAAACTTTTGCTATTAAATTTAATTATCTTAAATTAAACATTAATCTTTGGATTAAAAATAGACCAAGCTCGTTGGCATATGAACTTCTATTGAATATATAATATCCTAGATATTTATATATGATAGAAGCTTAATTTGTTAACTTGTTTGATCTTTTCTCAGGATCTAACCAAACTGATAGCAAACAGTGTTAAATCCTAGTACGTAGTTAACCACGCTACACTAATGACTTACAACTCGAATCAACTTGCATCTGTTGACCTAATGATGACTTGAGCATGTTTGATATTTTAGCACAAAAGTGACACGACATGGACCAAAATCATAAATCATTCTTCGTTCTGGGTTTGATCTTGTTCTGCTAAATGCAGTAGAACTTTGTTTAGAATCAGTTTCAGTTGCTCTTTCTGCTTGTTTGAGCAAATAACCGAAGCTTTAAGAAGCTTTATTTCTGGGATTTTTTAAATTATCCTTGTCATTAAGTAGAAGTTGGGCAGATGACTTGATTATGACTTGAAAATTCAAAGTTAAGGACTTGGACTTGTCTTGAACTTCCACATCATTGACTTTGGACTCGACTTGGACTTGGTTGTCTTTGACTTGGACTTGACTCAAGACTTGACTGGAAAGACCTGTGACTTGTGACTTGTGACTTGCAAAGCAGTGACTTGGTCACACCTCTGGTGAACAACTTTTATTTTTGTGGTACTTGGTCATAATCCATGCCAGGTCACCCATACCAATCACAGTCTCTCTTTTTGTGGAAGTGCACCAAACTGCTCCAGCATACAACCTGTTGACCAAAGATGTGAACAGAAAATCTTCTCCCATCATAATTCTGTTCAACTCGTCTTTCCTTTAGAATAATCTGGAAAAAAGCAGTAGCCTAATGAGTCCCTAAATATCATTGTTTAAATAAATGTTTCAGTATTAGAGTGATGTATAATGTGCACCACATTAACCTGTGATCTGTTACATCACTCAAACATGTCTGTCCTCGAGGGTAATCATTACCAACTACATGTTTTGGGTGATGATATCTCAGAGTTTTAGTACTCTGAAGATTGCATTTTACTTTGCAGATATTCATTTAATTATAAGTTAGAACATGTGAAAAAAAGGTGCCTGTAAGTGCCATCTAGTGGTCACCTTAGCTTGTTGCATCTGTTTAAAGGAAGGCTTGCAATTCATGTTCAAATTAGACAATTATGGCCAGATAGAACTAGATCGAAACATATTTATTATTTTCTTAATTCTCTGTTATTTTATTTTTAAATAACATGAGGCTCAATTTTCTGGGGTGAATTTACTTTCACACATTAACAGCTTTGTAAAGAATTTAATCTCCAAATAAAATCTAAACATTACTGCCAATAAATTAATTAGAAAGAATGAAATACAAAAATATCCTTCTAAAAATTACATTTGTTTTGTTTTAAATGTTTTTCAAATTGCAGTTTTTATTTAAGCTTCTTGAATCTGGTGTAAAAAAATATATTATTCTTCATTTCTGTCCAACCATCAACATGAAGGCCCAGACCTCCCTCTCCCCAGTTGGATGTGCCTGGGAAACCTCACCAGGGAGGCGTCCTGGATGTGTTGGTCCAAGAAGCATCCTAAATAGAGGCTTGAGCCACGTCACCATTGTTTAAAAAATCACGGCTGAAGATCTCATAATTCATGCATCAGAGGGTTAATGAAGCCACCAGAGGCGGTATTCTGGTTTTACACTTTTTCTTAGTTGTTTACACACAATTCCTTGTAGTCAGACACAATGACTACAACATCACTGGTGCACCAACTCCCAGAACTAATTCTGCTTAACTACGCTCACCCGTTTTCCCGAGTAAATGTCCGAATAATCGAACTGACAGTGCTTCTCCCAACATTTGGTTGCACCCTTCAGCCATTGAGAGGCCACAATTTACCACATGACCATAGGCGGAGATCCCAGGGGGGACGGGGAGGAGATCCCTTTACGACAGACCACCTCCACCACAGTAAAAAAAGTTGTCACTTCATGTTCTCTGGTCATTCCAGGATTATTCCGCTATTATTATTCCATTCACTAAGGTGACCAAAAGTTCCTTTTTCCGGACACGTACGCTTTCACGGTCTGCCCGGTCTGTGGAGCATTTATAGATCGATGAAAATGTCCATGTTTCATCCTATTTAGCAGATGAATATGGTAGAATCAAAACTAAATGGTCCGATGAATGGAAAACCACAGTGTTTAACCGCTCTTATCCCGTCTTCCCCAGGCTCTGCAGTTGTTTACAATATGTCAAAGTGCAGGTGCGTAAACTGGTTGCAGCAAATGTGTGTTGGAGGCACGTTGCTCAAAGCTCTCAGTGTAAAACATAGAGCCAAAGATCGCGTTGGCCACACAGACCCAATAACACTATGAAAACTGAGAAAAGTGACAGATCGATTAAACTGAAAGATAAACTATAGAGTATGTATATGTTTAGTGTATTTGTAAAGTAATTTTTTTAAATTTTTATTATTAAAATGAAACAAATATTTCAAGAATATATTTTTAGATTTGGTGTATCTTTTCGTTTAGTAGGACTTAGATAAAGTTATTAAATATTACAGAGTTATTCTCTAATAGCCTACAAACATTTCTATGATTTATTAAAGAGATTTCAGTCAAACTTGACTTGTGAAAGCTGATTTGAAGTTATTTTTTCTAGACATATTTAGAAGGAAATTTTCAAATATATTAAAATCAATATGGAACTATTTGGATTTTAGTAGCTTTCATGTTATGTGATTTAATAAAATTTTTATTTGACATGTTCTCTCTCTTTGTTGTGAAAAAGTTAGATATGTTTTAGTATTTAAAATTAATGCTTTGCATCCGTCCACACGTGTCGCTGTTGGTCAGCTAATAGCCATGTCATTTCAGGACATGTTGCTTCAGCTATTAACGATCTACTTTTAAATCTTTATTCTGAATTGCTTATTCCGTTTTAGGCCACAGTCTTGTTATTGAAATGAAAACAAAAAGAAAGGATGCTTATGGAGATGTACAAAATTGGCAAGATATTATTGTTGATCAATATCCTCCAGCTCCGTTCTAATGACAATATCCCATCTGTGTGTGTGTTGCTGTCCAACTGTCAGCAGACCAGGTCAGTTGAAATGGCAGAGAAATGAAAAACGGCAGACATCAGGTCATTTTTAATGCTCCAGAACGTCAAGTAAGTAGAAACTTGCATTTTGATAAAGCCATCTATAAGAAAGAAATGAAATGCCTATGAAATTGTTTCTAAATGGTTTCATTAGGCAAAGTCCAGTCACTTGAGCACAGGCAGCCAGAGCCTGTCAGACACAGGCACAGAGTCACAGGTCAGTCTCTTATGAGGACATTCAGTGTTGTATGTAGAGAGCATTTTTTTTCATGTCCCCCCAAAAATTACTCTCTGAAGTTTTACTGTTTATTGTCCCCCCAAAATTGAAATGGGATTTCCGCCCTTGCACATGACCCACAAGTGTTGCCAGGAGGCTGACCTTCCATGTATTGCTATTTTGTAGCTACGGCATGCTCCTCATGCCAATCCTGCTTCCTGGTTTAGACATCCTAATTACAGTGGAGGCTCTTGTGATTCAGCTGTGAGTGACTCTGAAGAAGAGGTTTATCATTGTTGCAATTACATTTGTTCACACACTAATAAGTGTAAGACAAGGTTCACCCGAGGAAAGTTATTTATGGACATTTTCATGGAAACACAATAATAATATTTTCAAAATGGATGTACAAAATGTTTGACAACATATTCAACAATTTTGTGTGCAATGACACAAGCAATGAAATGAAGATTACTGTATTAGTTGGATGAACAATGACTATTCAGCCTTTACATATAGTTCATCTAACATACATGATAAAAGCAAGTTAAAAGTGATCATTTTGCAGATATTTGTACTTATTTATTCAGGTCCAAGAACACTTACCATTGGAAGAAATGAACATTACTGTAAACTGCACCGGGTTGCACCCAGACTACATGCTGTGAAGGTTGCACTACAGTAACTGTTGTGCAAAGTTTCCACAACAAATAGCTAAATTTGATCACAAGTTAGATTGATCACATCACAAGAATAAAATCAAATATAAATTTACATCCCAAAATTGAAATCTGAATATCAATGTGAATAACTTCATCTAAATATTACTGTAACAAAACTTGATGTAAATAAAAGCAGAGAGAGGGCATCATCTCCTATCTGTGAGATCAATAGATAGATAGATCGATAGATAGCTCGATAGATAGATCGATAGCTCGATAGATAGATCGATAGATCGATAGATCGATAGATCGATAGATTGATAGATCGATAGATCGATAGATAGATAGATAGATAGATAGATAGATAGATAGATAGATAGATGATAGATAGATAGATGATAGATAGATAGATAGATAGATAGATAGATAGATAGATAGATAGATAGATAGATAGATAGATAGATAGATAGATAGATAGATAGATAGATAGATAGATAGATAGATAGATAGATAGATAGATAGATAGATAGATAGGTAGATAGATAGATAGATAGATAGATAGATAGATAGATAGATAGATAGATAGATAGATAGATAGATAGATAGATAGATAGATAGATAGATAGATAGATAGATAGATGGATAGATGGATAGATGGATAGATAGATAGATGGATAGATAGATAGATAGATAGATAGATAGATAGATAGATAGATAGATAGATAGATAGATAGATAGATAGATAGATAGATAGATAGATAGATAGATAGATAGATAGATAGATAGATAGATGGATAGATAGATAGATAGATAGATAGATAGATAGATAGATAGATAGATAGATAGATAGATAGATAGATAGATAGATAGATAGATAGATAGATAGATAGATAGATAGATAGATAGATAGATAGATAGATAGATAGATAGATAGATATCAAAGGGGTTGAGGAAATATTTTTCCTCCTTTTATTTTGATAGGCTACTTCCGCTTTACATCTGTCTGAATTGTCATGCCGGCTAAAGGTTTAGTTTGAAACCCTCACAATTGGAGTCAGATCTGTTTATTTTAACTTTTAAATGTTTAAGTTTGTAAATTTGCCAACAGAAGTAGTGAAAAGTGTCTAAATGTTTCAGTTTACCATACCACCAGACATTTATCTATATTCAGTCTGATTTGTCCTCTCTGAAGGAGATGTTTTATTTATTATTTCGCTTAGAAATGGTTTTGTGTTTTCTACAAGCCACGTGACCTTCCGCTGAAGCGCGCCCCGCTGTCCGCGCGCCTGATATTTTTGTGATTCTCCAGGACCAGCGCAGCCCCAGTAACCGGGCCCGGTTGGTTTGGGATCTGGGAGGAGAGGCGCTTTGCGCACCGGAGCCGTTAACTGTACTGACGGATGCTGCTGCCGCGTGAGCAGGTGATGCTGCGCTCGAGCTGCTGCTGACCCCCCCCCCCCCCCCCCCCCCCCCCCCCCCGCCCCACGCGCGTGGATCTGTCTCTGCCCCTCCTCTCTGTCCCTCCTCGCGCCTCTCCTCCGCACACGCACAAAACGCTCTGTCATGGCGTCTTCCAACCATGTTACCCCCACCAACTGTAGCTGGTGGCCCATCTCAGCCATGGATGGAGACGGGAAGATCACGCACGGGGAGGACTGCGAGGAGCCCGTGGCGGAGCCCAAACCCTTCAACAAAGACAGGCTCGTTTTGTACCACTGGACGCAGTCTTTCGCCTCCCAGAAGGTAAGAAAGGAAGAGAGCAGAGCAGGAAAATGGAGCTCTGCTCTGACCGAAGCATGTTTGGATGTGAGTATGAACAGAGCTGAGCTCCATCTCAGAAAAAACACTGCAGCAGGGCGCGCGCTTTTTCGGCATCCAGAAGGAAGAATAATAACACAAATCCTCCAATCTTCATTTCCACTCCAGGGCTGATTCCAGATCAGAATATAACAGCCTGCAAGCACCGACTCGTGACATCCGTAGTGATCCCAGTGCTGTGTAAACTAAAGGCCTTCTGCCCTGGATCTCATATGGTGCTGTTTTGATGCTCCACCTGATCCTTGTTTATGCACAGAGTCAGATCAGTAGGAGCAGTCCGCTCACACCGATCAGTTCATCTGGAGCTCAGGGTCACCCTGATTTGCTGTTTCAGCTGTCTCAGCTGCTAGGAGGACATTAGATCCTGGTTGGATGGACTTGAGATACATTCAGATGCTATTAAATACAAACCTGGGAATACTGAGGATCTGTTTTTATGTAAACAATTCACAGTCCACACCCAGTAGGTGAGGGCCAGAATGGTAAATACAGGGCTGCATGGGAGGTTGTGGGTTTGACTCCCTGCTGACTTTCTGTATCATCGCTGTGCCCTGCATCTTTTAGCTGCTCCCTCTTCAGCAGGTCCTCAAATTCTCCAGAAGCCCGCGCTTCATACCAGTTGTGTTGATGCAGGGAAACATAGCAAACCTGCAGTAAGTAGCCTTCCAGGACCAGGACTCAACGTCCCTAATCTCATATTCTGTTGGACCATCATTCTAAAGATTCCCCTCCATCATCGTAAAGAAAATCTTCCCTGAAGCATCACAGGAAAGTTTGTTCCTGTAACACCTCAATGGTTTCACAACCTTTCTAAAGCTATGCCTCCAACAGGGATAGCATGAGTTAATATTCACACCAAAAAAATTATAGTTCTTCAGCTGCATAACCAGAAAGACTCCTGACCTAGAGCCTGTCCTAACCAGTACCGTCCTGCAGTCTGGACCTTTCGCCTCAGCGTTGCTTCTTCTGATGAATGTAAACAGATAAAAGTCTTGACTGTTCATCTGAACCTTTGAAAAATCAGAACCAACACTCTCAGTGTTGGAGCTCCACTTATAATCTGTAGTCCTGGATTACTCGGTGGAGGTCTTCCTGCACGTGGGATTAACAGTTACATGCAGGTCAGCTGATCTGAAAGTAATCTGCAGCTGCTTTAATAATCAATCCCAGATGTAGATGAAACATTTATGTTAGCATTTAAAGGAATGTTTGTGCTTTAAAACAATAAAACAGCAACCGATGAACATTTTGCAACAAACATTTGTGTAATATTAGACTTATAAGCTATGGGACCTATCCTTGTTTTCATAAAACGGGCTGCAGTTGTTAGCACTGTTGCCTCGCAGCACAAAGGTTGCAGGAGGTGGTCAGACTTATTTATTAGCGGTACCTGGTTGATACTGTGTTGGTCCGTTTTTGTCCATTTGGCCCTATAGGGGTCATGGGGGTAGTTACCCCGGCAGAGAGGCCCTTTACCTCCTCCCGCTCCACTGGTTGAACCCCAAGGTGTTCCCTTGCCAACATGGTGATGTAATCCTTCCAACGTGTCCTGGGTCAACCCAGGGTCTTCCTGCCAGAGGAACGTTCTTGAAACACCTCCCCTGTGAAGCGTCCAGGAGTCATCCTGACTAAATGTCCAAACCACCCCACGTGGCTCCTCTACACAGAGGAGGAGCAGCCGCTCTACTCCGAGTCCATCCCAGATGTACGGGCTCCTCACCCCATCGCTAAGGCTCAGCCCGGCCACCCGACAGAGGAAACTCATTTTGACCGCTTGTATTTGACATCTTGTTCATTCAGTCACTACCCACAGCTCGTGAGCACAAAGGAGAATTGGGAGAAAGCTTGGGCAGTGAATTGAAAGCTTTCCTTTCTGACTTAGCTCTTTCTTCACTATGACACACTGATTAGCACCTGCATCACTGCAGACGCCTTAACGATCTCCCGCTCCTTCCTCACTCATGAACAAGAGCCACTTAAACTCCTAGAGGCAGGACCTCTCTCTTGACTCAGAAGGATACCTTTACTCTTAACAATGACATTTATTTTATTTTATTATTAACCCAGATTTATAAAATTTGCTTCCTTATTTTAAGAAAAGAGCAGATCACAAATATTTGACTGTGTCTATTTAACCCATAAGCATCTTTTAGAGGCTATGGTTTTCTTTAACTCTTGTCCACTGGGCTGAAGGAGCTTATATTGTGCCTCTAAGCAGCTGAACCTCTTGGCATCATTACCAGGGAATGACTAATATTATTGTGTAACAGTGATTATTTGTTAGCATCCTTATGGGACACCTTAGCAGTACAATGCTTCATTTCAATCAGACACACTGGTCCACTTAAAAACTGTAGCACTGATAGAAAACAGTTGTTTTATTCACTTCCACTGTGTTAAGAAATGTTCAGTAGAACTCAGACGTTGTCCTTCACCCTTTCCTCTTTATTTTATTTTATTATTCAGTGGTGTCGATGCAGGGACGCTGAAGCACTCTTTTGTTCACAGTTCTGTTACAACTTTGTCCATTTTCACCCAGCAGTTTAAAACTAAACAACCATCAAAACATCTCATTCAGGAGGAGTTTTGGTTGCAGTAAATTGTTGAGAAAAGTCAGAAAGACCTGTAAGAAATGTTCACATTGAGGACAATGAGACTTTAGCTGAACAGGTGAGAAAGCCCCGCCTCTTTTGGAGCTCAGGCAAACTTCGTGTCATTGAAAGTTTAACCAACAAATGTCTGAGCTGGCGTTTATATACATTTTAGATTTGTTTCTACAGAATGTTCGTCTGAAAGTCGACGATGTCACACTCAGGTTTATGAACTATCTTAAAGTTAATTTTTCTGCCTTCCGAGCAACAAGCAGCAACCGGTTTATACTGAGTATAAAAACAGGTGTGTGGCGTCTGGAGTTCAGCCTGTTCCTGTGATTTCAGGTGCGACTAGTGATCCATGAGAAGGGTCTGGTCTGTGAGGAGAGGGATGTGAGTTTGCCGCTGCAGGAGCACAAAGAGCCGTGGTTCATGAGGCTGAACCTGGGAGAGGAGGTCCCCGTCTTTCTCCATGGAGACGCCATCATCAGTGACTACAACCAGATCATAGACTACATGGAGAAGAACTTTGTGGGAGGTATGGCTCTGTGATCTCGAGAATGTGGGAAGTTTACTTTTTATTGTAAAGTTTGAGGTAGATCCATGTGTTTTGAGCTTCTGCAACAGAACACGTTTTTTGTTGCTTTCTCAGTGAATCTTCAATGTTTGAAATGATTTGTGACACATTTATTCAGTTCTACAAGCAGCAGGTGGTGGTTTGGTTGGGACCAAGTGGGAAAAATCCTGGAACCAGTTTGAGTTCCAAACCTGTCTACCTGTGCACCATTCCTCTGACCTAAAAGTTACCCACGCCACAGCTGAGACGGCAGGTTTAGGAGTCTTTTTTCCTGATATTTGGACATCTCTGATTGGATGACAGCAACATGACTCTACCACTGACTTGAAACGCTGATGTTTTATCTCCACAAATAACACAAGCCTGGAGGAGCTGCTGTGTGGTGAAGTTGCTATTGCAAAAGATTAGCTTAAACTGGCCGAGACATTCTCTGCTGATTCCCGGACATTAAACCAACAACAGCCTTCCCCGTAACGATTTGAGATGGGTGAGTCCGTGAAGGTTCAGTGACAGTGTGACATAGATCTGTCAGGCTTTTCTAATCCTAGAGTTTCACCATCTATTGTCTTATCAGAAGCTGATGCAAGAGATAGGTGTAGGAAACTATTTTCATGTTCAGCCTGCATTATAATCAGAATTAAACAAAAAAATGTTTTCAGTCAGCCACACTTTTAAGTAAAAGTTTTAACATTTATCGGCTAGATCAGATGTGCATTTAATGTACATATGTGTTATCATCATTGTAGATGTCTAAACAGTTTTAATAAATAGGACTTGATTTCAGAAATCTAATGTAGTTAAGTCCTGGTTTTCTTTTCACCTGCTGGCCTGAATTCCAGTTGTTGATCTTCTCAGTCCCTACACCCCCAGCAGGCCCCTGAGGTCCAGTGATTAAAGTCTACTGGTTGTGCAGCACTAGGCTAAAGACCAAAGGTGACAGATCATTTGCTGCTGTGGCCCCCAGACTCTGGAACTCTCTCCCCCTGAGCCTGAGATCAGTGGACTCAGTGGTCTCCTTTAAAAATCAGCTGAAGACTCACTTGTTCAGGCTGGCTTTGGTGTGAACTTCATCACCCTCTCCTTGTTCTGCTCTCCTCAGGATCCACTGATTTCCCTCTTTGCTATTCACTCTCTCTCTTTCTTTGATTTTTTTAATCACAATTGTCTATTTTTTGCTCATTTTAAATATATTTTAATCATTTTTTTAAATCTTTTTATATTTAACATTTTTTTGTTTTTGTGAAGCGCCTCATGATTTTTATCTTGAGAGGTGCTATAGAAAAGTTATTTTTTTCTTCTTCTTCTTCTTCTTCTTCTTCTTCTTCAACATCACCCTGCAGTTGCTGTACAGTTGTTTAGTGGGTTTAAGGGGTTGCTGTTCTTTATCAGTACAGACAGAAGACCAGGGAGGAGGATCCATTGGCACAGTCGGGGGGGGGGGGGGTCTTCAAAAGTTGGGGTTGCTAAGACAGTATGTGACTGAATCTGGTCATTGCTTTAGCAACCCCAAGCTGCCGCCGGGCACCACCCCTGCTGTCTGACCTGTATTTCTGTCGTCTCATTAAATGGGTACTGAATATTCCTAATGCTATCTTTGAATAAAACATTTTGGTAAACACACATTTGACATGTTTAACAGCAAAACATTCAAATCCAAGCTGTAAGTCTATTAGGAGTGAGGCTCTAGTTCCTGTTTTTGGTTTGCAGACTTTATGTGTCAGACTTTCTCTGCAGTCAGGTTTTGAAAAGACTCTTCCTCGTGCTTTTAGTGTTGATTAAAACTTATGAAAGTTTGTGTCATGAGAACCAGAATTACTTTTACCGTTTTGGGTGGGAGGGTTGCATGCTGCCTACATGTTTTCCCCTCTTTCTACCTTCGTTTGACACACCACCACTAACACGTGACTCTAGTGTTCATATGGGTAAGAAGTAATCACTGTGAAAAAAGTGCACGCTTGCTAAATGGATTGTGAAAAATCATTTTAATAACTGTTTTTTGGGAGATTTCTTTTTTTTTTATCATTTTTTGACAAAGTCTAATGAAAGTTTAGAGTTGCATGTGGTCCAATATAAATCACTTCAAATGTTATACACAATTTGTTACAACTCAACAGTCTGAGTCTGATATTCTAAGTAAAAATCGGTTATGGTTTGTTTTCATTTGGAAAGCAGAGACAATGACTCAGTCACTGGATTAGGTTGGCACCAGCACTGACCCAGCCTGTGGCTCAGATAACCTACAGGCACCTACCAGATCCATGAGCTGCAGAACTTATCAGGACAGGTTTGTGTAGGACACACACTCCTTCTGCTGCCATCTGACTGTCCCGTGTGAGTGTGTGCTGATACACTGATACTTAACATCATCATCATGTCACCAATCCAATCCCTGATTAGATAAGACAGAACAGGAATATTTCCCAGGGAGAGATCTGCTAATGATTAGAAATAATGTCATTACTGAACTAAAACAGTACAAATGAATTTATGTGGGAGATAAAAGTGCAGCTTCAGCAGCTGCTCAAGTGGAGGCTTAAACAGAAGATGGAAATGTATGCAGAACAGACATGCTGTTCTAACCTGCTGTTTAGCATCGCGGTTCCTGTGGTTCTGATCTACAGGACTGTCAGCAATGAAAGGTGACAAAGCAGAAATGGACTTCTGTGTTCAGAGGTGTTTATTTTAGCTATTTGATGGTGAACAGTGATTTCTTATTGAGTGCTATATGTATGTCCATAGAGATATCTGTCCACATTTATTTTATTTCTTCTCTGTCCGGACGTGCCTTTACCCAGGCACTCGTCTGGATGCTGACCCATCTAAATGAGAACTGGTGCTGTGAGTCTGTCTGGAGGGTGAGAAGAGACACGTTCTCCATTATCGATGCAGAGCCGCTCAACTGTACGCCATCTTCTCTGATCCAACAACTTTTTGATAACTCACATCAGTTTAAAATGATGAAACTCTTTGACACAGCTGCACGGTGATGCAGCAGGTAGCACCGTTGCCTCGCAGTGAGAAGGTTGCAGATCAGAATCCTGGCGGTGGCTTTTCTATGCAGAGTTTGCATGTTCCCCCCACACATGTGTGGCTTTTCTCTGGGTACTTCAGCTTCTTCAAAACATGCCTGTCAGGTTAATCAGATAATCTATTGTCCCTTGGTGTGAGAGAGGGCGTGACTGGTTGTTTGTCCCTGTGAAGGACTGGAGATCTGTCCAGGGCACCAGCTTCCTTTGACCCTTCTGAGGAGTAATTGATTAAATAACGAGTAAGTGAGTGAACCCCTCTGATCTCCTGAAGGTGCATCATCACATTTATTACAGTTGCTTTTCTGTTATTTACGTCACAGTGCAATTCGAACGTCTTTTCTCTTTCTCTTTATTTGTTTCATTCAAAGTGTTTAATATACATACGTACATACATACATATATATATATATATATATATATATATATATATATATATATATATATATATATATATAAACATGAACACCAAACAATTTGAATGAAAAGGGGCAGAAGGAAGAAATATCCTATATAATCTGCCCCTATTTACAAACCAAACTTTTTAATAATGCTTCCATACAATTCTCAATAAACAAAAAAACAAAACGAAACAGATTCCTTTTATATTCTTGTAACTTACAGACCTAATCAGACACCAACTGAATTTAGGTTATTGTAGTTTTGTAATACACTTGATTTGAGACATTTTTTTTAAATATATTTAGTGACTCTGGTTCTTTTATGTCTTTGCTAAGGTTGTTCCATATTCTCACGCCGTTTACAGAGATAGTCATTTCCTTCATTCTGGTTCTAAATTTCGTTTTTTTAAATACTTCAGTTCCTTTTAAGAAATAATTACTGACTTTTTTTCAAACATTTTCTGAATGTTGGTGGGTAACGTATTGGTTTTAGCTTTATACATTGTTTGCAATATTTTCATATTCACTTGATCATAAAATTTCAGTAGTTTATATTTGACGAATAACAGATTGGATGGATCTCCATAGTGATTGTTATTAATGATTCTCAATGCTCTTTTCGGTAGAATAAACAGTGGTTGTGTATGAGTTTTACATGTGGATCCCCATATTTCTACACAGTAAGTCAAGTATGGAACAATTAGTGAGATATCAGTAATCCAGAACTATTCAGTAAAAACTTAACTTTATGTAGTACTGCAATGACTTTGGCAATTTTACCTCTGATATAACCTATGTGTGACTTCCAGGTGATAGCTTCATCAAACATGACTCCTCAAAATTTCATTTATTTCACCCTTTGAATGTCCATTCCATTTATTTTTATTGTTACATCTTTGTTGTCTCTGTCATTAAACAATATAAAATTTGTTTTATTAAGATTCAGTGAAAGTCTGTTGATGTCAAACCAGTTGTTAACTTTTATCAGTTCGTCATTTATCGCTCTAGTTACTTCTGCTACTTCTGCAGAATCACCGCAGAGCGTTCCCCGGTCGGTCGCTACGTACGGTGGGGCTGATTACTCAGGGATCTGGAGCTCAGCCAGGTGCAGCTTCATCTCCAGGTGGTGGCTGGCTGTGACTCTGTAGGCTGATAAAAACCTGCTCCGTTGGCCCACCAAAGCCCAGGGCACCGAGCACGACTACAGCCATAGGGACAGTGAGCTAAGACTGAGAGTAAGACAACTTCTCTCAGGGGACAGGTACTGAAGCAGTGGAGTTAAATAGCCTATCATCAATTACCCACAATGCTCAGTGTTTCTCTTCAGTTTGAACTATATCAGGTAAACATCAAATCAGGCGTCAGGTGCTGAAGGATTTCAGTGTTTTTTTAATGAGCCATATCAGAGACAGCTAGTTCTGCAGGAACATAGTTGTGTTGAATGCCTTTCTGTGTTGCAGACAAAACATGACTTTCCAAACATGCAGTTATTTCTGGGCTTTGTGAACCAGTGTGCACCGGTATAGGCAGTCCCATTCTTTTTCTGTAGCTCGGTTGGGTCTGTGAGATTCCTTCACCTCCTCTTTGTGCCTCCCTGTCTTAGACACCGTGGCCCAGCTGATTCCTGACGCAGACTCCCCTCTCTATGAGCGTGTGCAGCAGTACCGCCAGCTGCTGGATGGCCTGCCCATGGACGCTTACACACATGGCTGCATCCTTCATCCGGAGCTCACTACTGACTCTATGATCCCAAAGTACGCCACAGCAGAAATACGTCGTAAGTGGCATCAGCTCGCTGCACGGTGCAGGCATGAACATCCACTGTTGTTGTCTTTATGAGCGAGAGATGATCACGAGTCCCAGTCTGTTATCTTTTATTTAAAGTACCAATATTTCAGCTGGTGTTAACTCCTTTTGTTTCTACTTTCTGAGTTTTTATTCTGTAGCCTGAGTGACACGTTTAACTCTCTTCTTTCTAACAGGCTGTTAATCAAAATTAAAGGTGACATATTGTGACCAAACCACACGAACACGTGCCAAAAGATTTTTGCCAATTGTTGCTGGGCGCTCTGGTCCGCGTACCATCCATCAGCATATATACTTGACATTTAATTTCCATAGGCTAGAATTATAAGGCTTGGGTTCCAAATGGGAGGTTCTCATGTTTTCCTCCCTTTAAACATTTTCCATTGTCTTTCCTTTTCTGCTTCCTTTTGATGTTTTCATTGAAAAACGATGCCACTTTTGGAAGTGAAGATAAAAGATTTTTTAAAGTTAGCTGCTTCTTTCTCTTATTGGAGCCACTAGGATAACTCCATTTCATGCATGCTTAATGTTTTGACTACCGCTTCGAGTTTGTTACGAACCAGTGTTGCCAGATCCAAAATCCTACAATATCGTACAGAGAGGCCTAAATTATCGTTTTTCAGTACAAATTATCGTACATTATAAATTTGATAACTCCCACGCAGGACGCTAAACTTGTGTCCGGTGTTGCTTTGCTTTACCTTCATCTGTCCCTTCTCTGGTTTTTCTTTTAAGATTAGAAGCCATTGTCTCGTCGCTCTGTCCTCCTAGCTTAGACTTAACTCGGCGCGCTCGCAGGCAAACAGCAAAAACTGGCGGGCCACTGCCACATTATATAACCTTACAGTTTCTCACGAGAGTAGGCCCTATTGATGTGATTGGGCTATTTATTGTACAGAGACCCAGAGTCAGGTTTTGTAATAGACACAATAGCATAAACCTGTAAGCACTGAGGTGAAATCTGACTTCAGAACAGTTTAACATTATGTAATTGACATGGGAAAGCCACAGCAAAAGACGGTGTTACTAGATGCAATGTGAAATTATCGTACATTTGAGGATTTTTGAAACTATTGATCGTACATCGTACAGAGCCCAAAATTATGGTACAAATACGATAATTATCGTACATCTGGCAACACTGTTACGAACGCTCCCGCCTCTCTTCTTCTTCTTATTTGTGGTCTTATGGCACTGGGCAAACAACAATTTGGTGCACTACTGCCACCAACTGGATTGGAGTGGAATAATTACAAATCACTTCCTGTTTGTGCATCGGCATCTTAAAGGAATAGTCCATTGTGGCATTAACAGAGGGGTGCCAGCAGTCAGGGTTAGGGGGCCCCCCAACATAAGGGGGCCCCAGGCAGCCGTTGACCTATGCCTAATGGTAAAACTGCCACTGGTTCTTGGAGTCAGACTAACTGTGTGTGTGTGTGTGTGTGTGTGTGTGTGTGTGTGTGTGTGTGTGTGTGTGTGTGTGTGTGTGTGTGTGTGTGTGTGTGTGTGTGTGTGTGTGTGTGTGTGTGTGTGTGTGTGTGTATGAAACCACAGGACACTTGGTTAACGCAGCGACTGAGCTGATGAAGTTGGACCACGAAGAGCCTCAGCTGACAGAACCTTACCTGTCCAAGCAGAAAAAGTTAATGGTGAGTTTCTTTAAGCAGTTTGATCAGAGAACAGTGTAACGTTTTGTAAGTGGCTACTTTTAACTAATTCACCGCCAGCCGTTTCCTGATCGCTAACGGCCTTCGCTCACCGTTTTTACTTTTTTTTTTAAGAGTCACAGAACGTTGCGTGCTAGGATGATGTCGACGCCAAAACAACCAAAACAAAGAGGAGACTCACCTCTTACATCAGGAAGAATTCGTGTGTTTCGATCGTTATCCGTTCTTTCATAATCTGTTGTCGAATTGTGATCGGCAGACGCTTTTCTGGTTCGCGCCACACTTTTTTTACAGGAACGGCCCAAAGCGATCTCCTAACACATGGATGGTCTGCTTCCTGATCACATGACATGTGACATATGCGGATGAAGATCGGCTTCAGGGCTGAGATGTTTGTTCTCTCAGCGCGGGGGCTCGTTCTGATGCTCAAACAGTAAAAAGATGCAAATGACGACTTTAGTTGTCATTGGCAGTGAACGGTTGGATCTAAAATGACGACTTTAGTCGTTAATGGCAGTGAATGAGTTAATAAATTGTCAATAGAATATAAAGTTATTCAATAAAATGTAATATTCCATAAAAATATGGATTATCAATGTTATTGAACCTTTAATTTTCGATTGGTGATGAAATTAGGTAATTTGGGTATGCCGGGGAACCGACACTCATCATTAATTTGACACAGAGGCAAAAATATAGTTTATAAAAGTCAAATTATTACTATATTTCTACGACGAATGATCATACAGGATGAATGATTATAAATGATTTAAGGTAACATCAGTGTGTGAATGTGTGTGTGAATGGATGAATGATGCACTGTAGTGTAAAGTGCTTTGGAGTCCTTACTCTGAGAGGCGCTATACAAGTGCGGGTCATTTATCATAATCAGACTCTGATGAAACATGATCTAAGATGTTATTAAAAGTCTAATTAAGTGTCTTAGAGAGAATGTGATGTCTGGGTTTAAAAAAATAATCTGGCTGAATTTTTAATTAGTTATCAAATTAGTCTTAACCATCCAACACCAGTGTTTGTAAAGCTACGGTACCCGTATGGCGAGGCTTCTCAGCGATCTGGTGGAGCAGCGATGTCGGTTCGGCCAGGCTGCCGGATGGAATTGACTTCTGAGACATCCGAGGGTCGCAGCTTTCCTTGGAATTTTTACCATCGGTCATAAGATACCCCCTGGGTGACTGCTGGCGGCTCTGATGTTGTTTGGCAGGTTGATCTTGAAAAAGGATGGTTCATCGCCACTAAAAATATTCTGTTGAAAGACCTGGTCTGATCCCCCAACGGGAGATGAATTTAGCATGAAGGCTGGGACACCTTGCTTGAACTGAAGTTTCAGTTCCGTGACTAATCAGAGGTTGTAGTGAAGACAAGAGTCCTCAGATGTCACACCTTTTTCCAAGAAACAGAAAAGGCTTATTTCACTCAATATGTGAAGTAAATATGATATAACAGTCATTTGTCAATATACGGATATTAATATGTGGCATAACTGATGTTAAATTATTATTAAAGTTGTTGATTCATTCATTACTGTAAAGCAATCAAGTCTTATTAAAATCCCTTTAGATAAAACATTCATTGTAGATAAAACAGTACCTTTAAAGTGAGGAAATCACGGTAGGAGACACTTCAAGATTATTTTATTAAAGTTAGAAAGTCTGGAGGACCTTGTGCGTAGACAGGGCAGCTTTGTTACGACGGATTCCCGGATGGCGAGGTCAGAAACAGCACGTTTGGATTGGAAAGCACACAGCATTCTGGGTAGATGAAGCTGGTTGTGGACAGTGTAATGTTTTGGTGACCTCTGACCTACAAGGCCTCCCGCAACGCTACAACAGATTAATATTTGTCCTGATCCTGTTTTTAATTTCTGAAATTCTGGACTTTTTTCTTCATGCCACCAGATGTGCCATGAAGAGTTTTCTTTAAATTGGAGGGTTGCTGGTTTAATCCTTATGTAGCCTAACAAAAAGTACTTAAAGGAGGCTGATTTTACCAAAAGGCTCTGCTTGCGTCTCAGTGGTGGTTTTACAGGAAATCCATAATTTTTACAAATTTTGAACGACCACAAAATCTATTTCCAGACCAAACCAACTAACAATAGTGACTATGAGAAAACTATCAGTATTATCTTCAGTGTTAGAGGATAGGCATGGATTATGAAAGATTTTTGTCTAACATAATAAGAGCTAAAATCACTTTTCTGTATCAGAATTAATCTAATTCAAATGTTTCACTATATGAGGAAAGTATAAATAGCAAGAAACAATTAATGACATGTTTAGTTGCCATTTAAAATCCCAACCTGCAATATTTTATCTTTCACATAATATTTAAAAAAAAACATATTTGGGGCGTCATTAATCTAAGCCCTTCACCTTTCAACATTTTCTTCATGGTTTTCAGACAAAAATCTTGGACCATGATAATGTGAACTACCTGAAGAAAATTCTGGGGGAGTTAGCCATGGTTCTGGATCAGGTAGAGGCTGAACTCGAGAAACGGAAACTGGAATATCAAGGTTTGTCCATAAAAACACATTCCAGGAATTTTATTTATTTATTTATTTATTTATTTATTTATTTATTTATTTATTTATTGTGTCTTACAGGTCAGAAGTGTGAGTTGTGGCTTTGTGGACCTGAATTTACACTAGCTGATATCTGCCTTGGAGCCTTGTTACACAGGCTCAAGTTCTTGGGACTTTCTAAGAAATACTGGGAGGACGGCAGCCGGCCCAATCTGCAGTCCTTTTTTGTGCGTGTGCAAAAACGCTACGCTTTTCGAAAGGTCTTGGGAGACATCCACACGACCCTGCTGTCAGCAGTGCTGCCCAACGCCTTCCGAATGGTAAAAAAGAAGCCGCCATCCTTCTTCGGAGCCTCTTTTCTCATGGGCTCACTGGGTGGGATGGGCTACTTTGCCTACTGGTATTTAAAAAAGAAATACATGTAGTGAATGCCCTGTTGTTGTGTTAAATGTCTGTGTAGTTGTGTGATGCTTCAACTTTTCTGTAATATTTTATGACTGCAGGAAACTAATGAATCTATATAGAGTACACTATTACTTACCTGGGTACACAATGAAATATGAAAACATTCCATAGTAAGAAATTACCGACAGCACATTTTCTGGAAGTCAAAGTCTTCATTGAGTTTATGTTTTGGAAACTTGCAGCCATTGTGCATGCAAGAGCTCATCTAATTCTTTTATTTTGAGAGGCATGCATTAGGTCCACTTACACTGAGATCCCAGAAACCCAGATGAACACATGAACACCAACCACGTTTGAATGACCTTTGCATGCCGCTGTTGCAGTTATGATCATACCTGCTTCCACTGCTCCATCCCTGTGAGGTGAAACCACTCAACAATCAGTCCTGAAACGTGCTACGCTAGCAGAAACTGCCAGAAGACACATCAAAAAGATGGAGGCAAAATATAAAATAATGTTTTCATTTTTTAAATGTTTTCTTGCTGAGGTCTAATTGGAAGATAGAAACCTGACAAGATGGTTAACAGCTTAGAAAAATGGTGAAAGCTAGTTGGATTCTGTTCAACATGTCTAAACTGAGCAGGCAGAATTCTGGAGCTCACAGGTAGTCTTATTTGTTTTTATGGAGTCTGTTTAAAGTGAGCTGCAGAGCTCCTGTGCTTTTGACCTGTTTTAGGCAGCTCTCATAGTAATTCGGGGGGGGGGGGGGGGGGGGGGTGTTATGCAGGGAACTGGACTTTATTAGTTTTGAAGTCCAGTTGCCTCCATTCGAACTCTCTAGATCTGACTAGATTGATGAGCTAACAGCTAGTCACAGCAAAGATGAAAGTAGATTATTAAACATGCCTAATCTCAAAGATGTTGTATCACAAACACTTTTATGAAAACCATCACACTGCTGTAAATTACATCAAGTCCACAAACTGTTGGAGCAAAAATTAGCATCAGCGCTATATGTAGCAATTCCATCTTAGTGTATAATAATTCCAGTGAAAATATAATAATAATTCCATTGGAGTAATCATGTAATGCAAAATTAATGAAGATCTGAAGGTTATGAAGGTTTTTGATATTCTGTTAATCCCTTTTAGAACCGGTCCCACTCTGACTAATCTGTCCAGTGAATGCTAATTTGTTTTTCTCCAAACTGAGGTTGTTCAAATCTCTATTTACAGCAGGGTAGATTTTAATTGTTCGTAAAACTTCCACAGGAACATAAATACTAAACAAATATAGTGATGTTTAATTGGAGCAAGTTACAATACCTCGCTTGAACTGAAGTTTCAGTTCCGTGACTAATCAGAGATTGCAGTGGAGACAAGAGGACGAGAGGCTGCTGTCGGAAACAATCTGAAAGTTGGAAACTTTCCGGCCCCTTCCATAAATGCAAGTAAACTAATGAAACGGCTTTCAAGGTAAATTTATTTATTTGGATTTATTTTCTGTTTAAACTAGAAAAATACATTTAAATTGGAAATAAACATAATAGAAAATAGGCAAAAAGCATAATTTATCATGCAGCAAATGAAGATAATAAAAGATAAAACAAACCTTCCTCAGACTCCAAATATATATTTATGGTACAAGGGGGACACGTTGTTTACCTTTCTGTTATTTGCAAATGTTAAAACTGTTTTCTAACATCCACCAGTATGTGAACTCTAAAATATATTGTTGCCTGCTCTGATCTAGAATTAAAGTGTGTGTGTGTGTGTGTGTGTGTGTGTGTGTGTGTGTGTGTGTGTGTGTGTGTGTGTGTGTGTGTGTGTGTGTGTGTGTGTGACAGAGAGATGGTTGATCGGGGTTTCCAGAACATTATTTTTACAATCACACTCTTTTCCTGATCCTGTTTCTCCCTCTACTAAGAGAGCCTAGCCATGAGAGCAGCAACCAAGAGAGTCTATTTTTATCAGAATATCAGTCATCCTTATGTACACACACACACACACACACACACACACACACACACACACACACATCTGTTTTATCCAGATTTCACTGTGTTTTGATATCACATTTGGGAGGTAACGGGATCCTTTCATGCTTGTGTTGACTGGTTGTGTTTGTTGCACAGAAGGTGTTTTATTACGTCAGAATTGTGTTTGTTGTTTCTCTGATTAAATGAAACAACCCCTGGAGCATCTCCACTGTTTAGTGTGTCATCCTCAGCTCCTCACCCATCACAGCTGTCTGCCATCATTCCCTCCAGAAAGATGCAGTCTGATGTTCTACACTGTTCAACTCATCCTTACATCTCCACAGTCTCCTACATGAAGCTGGTTCTCCTCATCTCCTTGTCATTAGATGGTTAAACACACAGTTCTGTCATCTAGAGGCATAAATGTTCCATCCCTACCTTTCCAGATGCTTCATGTCTTTTGCTGCCACAGAAATTTGTCTCCATTGGTGGAGATTAGCACCACTTTCATTCATTGCAGAAAATATTCAACCAAAGATGATGATTCATCCACAGTAGCCTCCTTTCCTCATCCTATTGCGCAAAAGTCTTCAGCCACCCTTCTCTTCTTTATATTTAGCTTTTAATGAGTCAAACCTTGTTTTTTCTCTGTCTTTGGGGTGATTGTAGGAGATAATCAGTATCCTGCTTCATTCCTGTAATATCAAGCCAACATGTTGGTGTAGATTTATCCAGGATTCAGGGGCGTGTCCAGGGAGTGGCCTGGGGTAGCACATGCCACCCTTAGAGTCTGATTGGCCACCCCAGGTGCCACCCTACTAAGTTCCAATTTAAATTGACTTTACATTGTCGACAAAAGGCTTGAGTTGTAAGCTCCAAAATAGTGTGTGGTAGCATGCACCTTTAACATTGTCTTCTAGCCCAGGCCTACAGAACATTTCTGTAATATTAATATTATTTTTTCATATTCACATAAATAATATTTAGAGTCCCACTCAACTCCAATTGGTGGCAATAATGCAACAAGAAGTGACTTGCTAACCACCACAAAACTAGAAGATGAAGAGAAAAAAATGGTGATTGTGCAATGTGAAACTCCAAAATTCACTAGAAAGCAAAAAAATAAATAAACAATTTGTGTAAATAAAGAAATAAGCAAAACCATTGGTGCCACCCATGCATAAACAAGTGCCCCACATGGGCCACCCCATTTTAAAAGTCCTGGACACGGCTCTGCCAGGATTTGGTATCTGTTTGAATTAAAAGAAAATGGACTTCCTGTCCTGTTTCATGATCATGCTCTTGATGTTTTACCTCAGAAAGTTCTGAAGAATGTTACGAGTAAAACATCTTCAGGAGCTCAGAAATGACGTCTGCTTCCTGTTTAAACAGTTCCTCGCCAGTAGTTCTCCAGACGTTTTGATGGTCTTTAAACGTTTCTTTGGAATTTGGCTGCTTTCTCCAGAGGTGCGTCTGTTTTTTCCTCAGAGTTTGTGTTGTGTAACAACGTCACCAAAGTATGGCTCAACATCGGTCAAAACGACTGATTCCTGCGCTGGCTGAGGCTGATTAGCTGTGGCAGCCATCTTGAATTGAACTAGCTCCAAACATTATTGAGTTGCAGATGAACATCTGTTAGTTATTTTCTGAAAGGCTCATTAAAATCTGTTGCTTCACATCATACAGACATGGAGTGATCAGGTGCAAGAATGGGATCAAACAGGAGTGGAAAAACAACTCAAGTCCGAAGGAAAACTCTTTAATTAGAGAGAAATAATCATCCGCACCACTTTAAAGGATCGGTGAGCATTCTGGGCTTTAGAAGGCTGAATAAAGAGAGTAGAGGGATGGCTGTGGACTTTGGCTCAGCTCTGTTCTGATTACCCAATCAGAGTTCAGCTTCAGGTTTATCATGGAGGATGGGAAGAGCAACATGTAAAGAGAGATGCTGGGTTGGAATGCAGAAAGATCATCGAGAATCACAAAGAACTACAGATATGAAGCCTTTTAGTCTGCAAGTGACAGAAATCCTAAGGAGCCAAACAGCTTGATGACTTTTATTATTTAAAGACTTTTTAATGCTCACATTTCACAGCAGATGACGCTGAAAAGAGGCTCTAGGAACCGCCAGGTCCGTTTTCATCACGTCTGTCACAGATCCAGATGTTCAGTCTGAACTGCTTGAATTACAGAGTCTAAGTGAAGAAATCCTAGTGGTGATTTGTGATCATTATACACACTCAGATATTTTTTAACTTTTTATTTTTAATATTTCTATATGCATTAATTTATGGTGCTTTTTATGATGTTTGTTCGTAAGCCTTAATTTATTCAGTTGCCATCAATGACAAATAAACAATGACATTGAAATCCTCTGAAGCAGCTTTTTATTCAGTTAAAACTAAACTTTTAGCACAAATAAAACATGTAGAGACTCGGTTACAAAATTATTTTCATTGTTTTAGTGTGAATCTGACCAGTAGACAAGTCTACAAACTCAGAATAAAGAACTTGTTCCCATGAGAATGAAACTCTAACAGGTGACAAACATTTCCCTCCTGCTGTCTGACGTGGAGGTGAGTGGCACAACAGGATCAGGCACAAAAACTCACACAAAGATTACGTCATTTTCACATGGAGGCAAAAAAGTTTAAACCAGAGCTGCACCGATTTTGGTCTGCAGGGCTGTTACCGGATTACCTGAACATTCATCATCAACCTCTTCTAAAGGAAATGTGTGAAAAACTTAATCATTCTGAAAGTTCCACATAGAGAGAAGTTGTGTTTAGTGATGGCACGTTCACAGACCTGGAGAAAACGACGAGCAATGGCATTTCTGAGTTCCAGATAATTGGCTAGTATGGATCGCCGGATGATTCTTGTTGCATCTCTAATATAAACACCTCTAAACAAGACAGCGTAGCACATAAAACATTCATTGTTGGCATTTCTATAAATAAAATTAGTGTTAAAATATAATTTGAGAAGAAAAAAATACAGTCGGTTAATTTAGTGAAGTGCATTTCGGTTTTTAGCTTTAGCTATTTTTTTTTCAGCTATTTTTCACCCTGGCTTGGGTGGAAAAGAAAATGTTTTCTACTGTTTGGCCACTAAATGTTGGGAATAACAAATGTTTTAAATTTAAAATATGCCTTTATGAGTGTTTTTGTTTTCTTGAATAAATCCTCAAGACCATCTGTAGTTAAACTCAAACATAAAGGCATCTAGTTGAAAGAGGGTGCCGTGTGGAGTCACATGATCGGACGTTAAACTGCAGTTAGTCGTGAACAGCAGCGGCACGCAGACAGAAAGGCAGGTTTAACAAATCCAGGTTTTCTTCGTGCTCAGTTAAACCCGTCTACCACTTAAAGAGGATCAAGACAGCCATCACTTCAGTTTGAGTCTGCTATCGTTTTGGCCAACCAGCGACCATTCCTGTCCACCAGCTGGATTTTATGTTTTTTGAGGGGGGGGATGATCAGTCAGATTATGTGCTTTTATTTTGAAATTTGTGTCAGTGTATCTGCCAGACGATAAATTTTGTTCCTAATTACTTGAAAACTCTTTAATTTCATAAAACTTGACTTGTTTCAGCATCCAGATGTTACAAATATTCCCTGATTGTTTCAGCTTTATGTCTTTATTCGTTTTTGTGTTGTTTAGGCTCATAGATGTGGTTCTGGATTTTGTCCCATCTGATTTCACTAATGTTTTCTGTTCAACTTTCATAGATCTTCTCAGTCATGGACTGGATTTGTGGTACCACTCATTGTTTTAGCGAACACAGGAGCCACGTTCTGCGGGCGTTGTGTTGTGCAACTTGTTTAAAACGTTGCTCCGTCTCACAGGAACATGAACCAGTCGTCAGGAAATAAACAGAAACGGTCATTGAAGACTGCATGAAAATTAAGCACACATATTAATGTGAAACCAAAGAGCAAAATCCAGAACTGATCTTTTACACTAAATTTGGTCCCACACAAAGTTGAAGATGAAACTTTATCAGTTAAACTATAAAGTTTCCATTGAATTTCATCTAAGAGTTTCAGTCAGTCAACATGATCCAAATGCAATCCTTGTTTTTTTAATGTGTCTTTGGGGGGGGGGGTATCATTAGTTGCCATGGTGATCTATACAAAAAAAAGTGCCAACCTTGACACAGAATGAGGGGCTTTAATCTCAGGACAGTTGCTTTTAGCTCAGATTACCAGGAGTCATTTTGGCATCAGCAGCTGTTATACATTGCGGAAGGACTTCCTGTCAGGCATCTTGGACAAAAAGCTTCCTAGGAGGAAATACTTTAAAATAGCTTCAAGCTTGGACCCAGCAATGTCATGTACAGTGTGTTGTTTTGAAAATGGCTGTAAAATAGCAGCCTTCTGTAGAGGGAGGTGTGGATTAGGCGTGCTGTTTTTGTTCTTTTGGCTGACGCTGAGGGGGGAGTCCAGGTGACAGAGGCTTTAGATACCACACCCGATACGTTAGATACCACCACATCAGGGCGCATACAGTTCCCAGCAGCTTATGAGATGGGTCATGGAAGTAAACAGAGGTGCAGGCAAACATCCACACCCACATCACCATCAACAGATTCAAGGCCACATACAGAAGGTTGAGGACAGTCCTAGACTGTGACGACAAACTGACTGTCTTAAGAAAAGGCATGGGGGACGTTTCCTCAAAAATGAGGAGGGCAGAGTACGTTAGAATGAAGGAGTGTCCTGAGATGTCATAGCCATGCCAGAGGAGACCGGCCCGTCTGCAGGCGGCTTTGGACGTAAACTCCTTGTTGGTAACGTGTGAGGAGCTGCTTTCAAAACAAGCGCCGGTCACATCCTCGATGTAGAAGAAGGTCTCTGTGCAGACGTACCACACAACTGTTGCTACTGCCAAGGACAAGAGCCGCCGACTGAGGAAAGACACATTCCTGCTGAAGAAGGAGTTGGACAAGAGGAGGAAGGGTGTGAGCAGCAGCAGCGTCCACCCCCACGACACTTTGACAAACAACCTGCCAGAGACAAAACACAACCCATTTAATGCTCCTCTATCATCTTTAGAACTGGACTGGTTCTAAAGGAAGTCCATCTGAAAGCTTATATTTTGAAACACACCATGGCATTTTCCTTTAGGCAATTACTGACTTTCTCCTGAATTCATATTCAGATGACACAGCCCTGTATCTCAACTCTGAGAAAATATTACAACCACATAAGCTGAAGAAGTATCTGTTTTGTTATTGCTGCATATGTCAATTTTTATTTATAAACAAAATGACTTGAAATTCACAGTCACTAAGATGTCCCACCACTAGAACATCCAGTGTCACATGCAGGACTGACTGTCGGTCCTAGAAACTTATTATAAACATGGCGTTTACTTATTCAGATAAGAAATACCTGAAAGAGTTCACACCTTAAGGAGGCTGCAGACATCACTTTACATCAGCAGGTGACAGTTATTCTGTTCAGTTTTTAAACTTTGGCTCTACTCACACGTTGACGACGTTTTTGCTGCTGCTGAAGTAAGTCTGCGGGACGAGCTCCAGCTCTTTGAGAAGCGATCCAACCAAACAAATGAGTAAAAAGATCCAGGGAGAGTTCCGCTGGACTGCATGTGTTCTCCGCAAAGACACAAGATTGTCCACAATGACATCCATCGCCGCCATGTTGACGCTGCTGAACTGGCAGGCGGAAGTTTCCCTGACGTCCCTGAAGCTCCACCAATGAGGTCTCTTCTATTTGTTTTAACTCTTACAATCTCTTGTCTTCTTACGGTAAAAATAAAATAACAAATGTTCGTTACCTCACACGAACATATCGACTTTACTTTTCAATACGTAGCAGGTTCTTTCGTGACTGTGTTTAACCAAAGTGATTTGGTGCCACCTGCTGGTCACTATCAGGACTACGTTTTGCTTCCTGGCGTGACGTTGTTCCTGTGACGCACAGAAATTTTAAACTCTCGTCCTTCTCAGTAATGGCGGCTTCGTTTCGTTCTCTCCCTGCCAGCAGTAACAATAAATGGTGCTTCACCCGACAACAGATCGAAAACAGCCCTTCTCGGCGAGCTGGACTGGACCCCGATAAGGAGCTGTCCTACAGGCAACAGGCAGCGAACCTGCTCCAGGACATGGGACAACGGCTCAATGTGTATCTTTTGTGGTGGAGTGTCGCACGTAGCTAACATTAGCTTACTGGCTAGCGAAGCTTAGTTTCTCCTGAAGCCGGTTTGACATAGTGTAGCTGGTGTATATTGCTGCGGTGTTTTTAGACACCTTCTTGTTTTTATTCAGTCTCCTCCTCTGCCACAGTGTCTTAACATAGTGGTTGATGATGTTGGTAAACGTTAGTTCAGTGTTGTCACCGGGCAGCGGCGAAACATGCTAACTGAAACCAAGAAGGCCTGTGTTGTCGAGAGGCCTCCAGAATGTTAGCGTTAGCTGTGACTACTAGTCTAAAGTTAGAGGAAGAAAACATTTGGAGTAGAACAGCTGATCGTTCTCAGACAGACTTTGTATTATTAGTGTCTTATAGGGAATATTGAGAGTATTTATATCAACCAAAAGCCAGGTTTGTGTCTGTCGTATAAATATAATTATTTCCCGTTCAGTTTCTGGTGTTTAGCTTTACTGGGACTTTAGTGTTGCTTTTTTTGTAATGTAAAAGTGATTTAGTGATTAATTCATTCTATTGCTTTCATTTTTGTATAGTCAAACTTCTTAACACTTAATACTACATTAATTAAAAAATACCCTTTAACTAATGTATGTCAGATCCCAACTCACTATTAATACAGCCATTGTGTACATGCATCGGTTTTACATGGTCCAGTCATTCTCGAGATTTCACAGAAATGTAAGTACCCTATCTCATCCATATGTCCTTCGTTTCATTTGTGTTCTCCAGCTTCAGATTTTTTTAAAAACATTTTCCCCCCTGTTTAGGTTATTTCTCCCGCTGCTCTTTTCCTGGCTGCGAAGGTCGAGGAGCAGCCCAGAAAGTTGGAACACGTCATTAAGGTGGCACATGCATGTCTCAACCCCCAGGATCCTTCTCCAGATGTGCGCAGTGATGTAAGTGTTGGATAACAGGCCCTACTGTGTGTGTGTGTGTTTTTTTTTTATTATTATATTTCTGTAATTCCAGAACGTATACTCAAGTTGGTGTCTGGTTTTCAATAGTTACTCCTTTCAGATTCATTAGTTGTGAAAACAAGAAACAAAATGCACCTCTTTTAGTAGGTTTCTGTTGTCCTGACACTGTGATGTCTAGCAGTTGTAGGACGAGAGGATTTCTTCTTCCTGTGATTAACTTAAACACTTCCAAAAGTTTCTGAAACTTGGCAGCACAATGGGACCCAACATCATGAGTCTGTGTTCATGTAGTCTGAGCTCTTTACCAAGAATGCTTTCAGATTAGTTGTCGAACATTTTCGGATCCACGAAAAGTGTGTAGTATCTCTTGTTTGACAGCGATTAAAGGCATCGCAGTAAGTAATGTGCCTGTCCCTTTCAACCTCAGGCTTACCTGCAACAAGCCCAAGACCTGGTCATTCTTGAGAGCATAATTCTCCAGACCCTGGGTAAGTTTAGAAGGAGAGCCTGGGTCCCTTATTTTGCTCCAGAAACACATTGAGTGATTATAAGGCTAGCGTATTTTAACTTCTGTTCACAGAAGCTCCTAGTGTGGTTAGCAGCATTGGAAATTGACATTCATTCATTGTATTTAAGACACTTTCTCAGTGTGGTTTTTTTTGTTTGTTTTTTGTTTTTCAATCATGCTCCTAATCTTTCATGATCTCATCTGTCGCATGGGAAAATTACATTGTTACATAACTCTGAGTTTCCACTGTGAGTTCGAAATAATAATACCCATTTTCTGATTTTCAGGGACTTTTATTCATTTTTCATGGCAACTGGATTTATTTAAACCCAAATATAATGGACAGAAATGTATTTTTGAATTTCATTCAGTTCATTAAATTATTTCTATTATTGTCTTCTTTTTTTCAGCTTTTGAAATCACGATTGATCATCCTCACACTCATGTCGTCAAGTGCACACAGCTTGTTAGAGGTGAGTACCTTCATCTTGCTTTTTGGGGGTCTTATTTCGGCATGTTTTATTTTGCAGAAATTGTTATTTTATTTTGTTTCTTGGTTCTGTTATTCCAGCCAGTAAAGACCTTGCCCAAACATCATACTTTATGGCCACCAACAGGTATAGTCATAATTTGCAGTGAATTTAAAAGCTGTGGCATTCTGCCAGAATCACAGCTTTTAGATTTTTTCATGTTCTGTTCTTCTGCTGCATTTAAATACACTAAAACCTGTTCCCTGGTTTTTCTGTTTCTTCTCGTTGTTTCTTTCCTGGATGCATCCTGCCACGCAGTCTGCACTTGACCACATTCTGCCTTCAGTATAGCCCACCTGTTGTGGCCTGCGTGTGTATCCATCTCGCTTGCAAGTGGTCCAACTGGGAAATCCCTGTGTCTACGGATGGCAAACACTGGTGGGAGTATGTTGATCCCACAGTTACCCTCGAGTTATTAGACGGTACGTGTTGTAAACCGTATCATTCTTCTGTCTATTTTAGTTACAAAAATGGTCAACTCATAACGTTTAATTGCTTTGAGTTTAAGGCTGGTCAATAAATCGAAAATTTGTCGTCATCAAAATTTCTGACTTATCGATAATTTTTCCTGTGACAATAAATTTGATAATGAAAAAAAGAAAAGATGTGTGTAGGGTGGCAACGTTAAGGTTCCTTTAAGAAGCTGTACCACCTTAAGTCAGGTAAAAATGTGACTTGACGTAATACATGTGACCGTAGGGCTAAACAGAAATTGCGATTTCAGTTCAATTCACGATTTTCTTCAAACAAAGGTACAATACTAGCCTGCCAGGCCTTCTGGATTATTAGGTGAAAAGATGGTCTAGATTCTAATCTAGTAGAACAAATCATTCACATGTTCATATATACCTCTAAACCCCGGATGTAAAAGTTACACAACATATCCTGGATCAGTCAAAACCGCCCCAAAACCCCAGCTTTGACTGTTTGAAATCGCAATTTCGGTCCAAAAAAAACATAGATCGTTCAGCCCTAGGTGACAGCCCCATCTAGTGGACAACTTTTGTTTCTGCGCACACCTGTAGTTATTGTCCATTTATCGTTATCAAGGTGAAATCCTCAATATATAATGATATTGATTTTAGGCCGTATCGCCCAGCCCTACTTGAGTTTATCTTAATTTTTTAAATCTTTTGCAGAGCTTACTCACGAGTTCCTTCAAATCCTGGAGAAAACACCCAGTCGGCTGAAACGCATTCGCAACTGGAAGGTACACGTTTTATTTTCCCACCCACTTGATACAATCTGGTCTTTCTGCAATTTGTAAATTTTAATGAACTTTAATCTTTGACTTTTTGGCATTTTAGGCTGGCGGTCAGACACCCAAAGTCAAGCCAAAGATTCAGGAAGATGGCGACCAGAGGGACACCATGATCAACATGATTTCTATGGCTTCATCAGAGAGTACTGTAGCGGGCCTGTTGAGCCTCTCAGCTCCACCGTCCACCTCCTCTTCATCATCTATCAGTGACAAGGACAGGGCTATGCCCATTAGTGCTCAGACGTGGAGTGGAAAGGGTCAGGCTGGAACTGAGCAGCAGCAGCAGCCCAACCATGAAGTGCACACCCCAGCAAAGGTATCCCTGAGTGAGTACCGTGCCAAAAATGCTGATGTCCTGGCAGCACAGAAGAGAAAGCTTGAGAACATGGAGGCCAGTGTGAAGAGGGAATATGCAAACGCAGCCCAGGCTCTCATTGGCCAGCAGCAGAGAAAGGAGAAGCAACAGCATCATCATCACCAGCAGTCCAGTTCCTCTTCCTCCTCTGACATGCCCAACCCATCACCCATTATTCTTAAAATTCCCTTGGAGAAGGAGAGGCATCTGAAAATGCGTATTCCACACACCGGAGCAGTCAGTGACGCCACTCGAGGTCAGGATCCAGACATCAAAGTAAAAATACGAGTGCCTGAGAAGCAAAGAGGGAGTTCTGGAGAGGAGGGCAAGAGTAGCAGGGACAAGCACAGGGACCGTGCATACCATCATCACCATCATCACAACCATCATCCTCACCACCATTCCTCCTCTTCTAGCAGTGCTTCAGTTTCTTCTTCACACAAACATTCATCTGCTTCCAGTGGAACACTGGGAAGCAGCAAAAAAGTTCTGAGCTCGTCCTCTTCCTCCTCCTCATCTAGAAAGCGGGTACACTCCCAAGACCCTGTAGCAGGCTCCCAACCAGCTGCCAAAGCCAGCAAGACTTCTAGAAATCCCTACCAGTTACCGTCCCTGTCTTCCTCCTCAGGGCAAACTCTGGCTCACGGATTGGACATTCTGCCTTCTCTGAGCCTTTCCCACAGCCAGGGGACGTATTCACACTCCAAAACTGACAAAACAGATACTAATGGACACGGTTCAGCAAGCGGGGGCCAGTCTAATGAGTACCAGGACACTTTTGAAATGCTAAACTCATTGCTGAGCGCTCAGGGGGTCCAACCATCTCAGCCATCCATGTTTGAATATAGATCTCATTATGGTGACTATCGGTACACTGGTGGCTCCAGAGGGAACAACTCCAGACCCCCACCCTTACCTTCAGAACCGCCTCCCCCACTTCCACCTTTACCCAAATAGACCTCTGATCAGGAGTTGTTCTGTACATTGTACTTGAAGTCCCAAACGTCCTCTTTGTTACATAAAGCATTGTATAAGTTTTTTGTGTCTTCTACACACCCAACATGTTGGTAGGCTGAAAATGACTTTCCCCTTTTACTTGTGGGGCAATAACAAGGTTTGAGAGCCTCGCCGAATGTGGGATTAAAAAAAAAGACTTAGCGGAAATTGTATATATATAAATATTTATATTTTCTTTTTGTAACTTCCAATGCGATGTGGTTGAGGTTAAGAAATGAGTTCTGTTGAAATTTTAAAGGAATCCAAACTGCCATCAGAAACCTTTTTAGGTTCTTTTACCAGTTATTTTTGTAATGGTTTTATAGTATGTTATTTATTGATTGAGTGGTTTTTAAAAAACGTTCTTTTAAAATTAATTTTGGTTTAAGAACGCATATCTCCAAAGCCATGTTTAACAGCAACCTGGTTCCATACCTAGTGTTTGTTTTTGTTTGCAGCATTTTTTATTTTTTGGGTACCATGTATGAAGATTGTATAGTCAGATGTTTTAAACATTTTTTTTACATTTGTTACTGAAAATTACAAACAAAAAAAGGGGGGGGGGTGACGTAAGCGAACTTGTACGTCTCTCTTTAGACTTGGTGTTGCAGTCATTGTTTTAAATGGTTGTAAAATATGCATACTTTGTTCCTTAGTAAATAAACACACTAACTTCATATGGCAGACACACTTTTGTTCTAAAAGTACAAACATATCCACCCAATATGGTTATTATGAAGGACTTACAAGAAAAAAACAATACCTTTTAGTTTTTAAGAATTTCAGAGCAAACGAGGCTGCATTGATTGATTGATTTATGATTTAATTTTTTATTTTTATTTTTTTCCTGATTGCCCAACAGTGCTCGTTTGTAAACAGCTGGGTCAAAAACATCTATTATGCTTTCCGATCACCTATGAATGTTCAGTATGCAACAGCACAATAATACAGTATCAAAAATAATCATGTGGTTTCTGGAATGTCAAAGCCGGTGGTACACAACTTCTCTGGTCTCATGTTCTGATGTTTTTATTTTCTTCTATTTTTATATACTAGGTTGTTCGTAACCCATCTTCACACTGTTCTTAAATTCGCATGTGTTCTGTAAATTAGTAAAATCCTAGATGGCATGCTGGCTGTCGGTATATCTCCGGTACAGGTTCTTGAGCATGAAGTCACTTAGTGATTGTTTAAATTTGATGCTTGGTTTTATATTTGTTGGTAGGAGATTCGGCTGTCATCTGGACATTTCATCCATATTGGGCTTTATATGGGTTTGGTTGTGTAGTATTACTGCTTTGACCTTATTTTTATGTTGTCATATAAAGTGGTTAAGGCAGTTTACAGCAATGCAGTAGAACAAATCAGCCATGCAACTACATTTTTGTTCCCTTGAAATACATGCTGGAAAAGAAATATTTCTTTGCTCAAGCAGCAGATGTTTTACTTCAATTTTTTGTTGTAACTGGGAATTGGTTAAATGCACTGAATATTTATCTTTGTGGGTTTGACTGCAATGTAATTGACAAAGTGTTAATTTGTACAGTGGGTAAATAAGGAAAGTGAATTTCAAATGCAATTTTTAAAACATGAGCTATGTGGTTTGGAGAAAGCGTTGAACTTGAGTATTAACATGCTATGGGGAAAATCGTGGAACACATTTTATTATAAAAACCTATATATATATATATATATATATATATATATATATACACAAACAGAAGACACTCATGCAACCTAACAATGCAAAAATCACATTTTCAATAGTCTTTAAGTTTCATGTTTCTTCTTGTCTTGGTGTTTTTATTGACACTCAGGTCTAGAAATAAAAGTTTTTTTCATTAAGTTATATGTAAACACTGTTCTTTTTGATATGTGGTTGCTTTATTCTAAAAGTCAATAAATATTTTAAATACATTTTTGGTTTTAAGTTTTACAATCACCCGTCAGTGTCGTCTCAACAAGTTTGCCTCCGAAATGAGTGACAGTTGGATTAACCAATAAACCGTCTGGGTGTCTCCCATGCTGACCAATGAGAGCTTAGAGTGGGCGGGGCTGCCGACATGCTGAGGAAACTGCACGAAGGTTAGCATTGTGCTACATGTCTATTGTGAGGACAGCAGACGCGAGAGGGGCGAGCAGTTTTACTTCACACAACGGGTATTGTTTTACATCTTAATGTCAAATTATTTCAATAACACTAAGATGAATGTCTGACTGTTGCCATCTATCAGAAAAGCTAATTCCCTCGCTTCGAATTATTCCAGTTGTCAGTCAGCTGCCGTTGTCACTAGCTACACAAAAATGGCGGCCCATTAACTGCAGGATTTGGAGTGACGCAGTGAAGAGGCGGGTTTAAGCTCGTTGTAGTCTCCTATTTCCACATGTTTTGAAGTCATTTTCGTCGTTAGCGTGGCCTTTCGTTTGGGTAGACCAGCGACGGTTTTCTGCTCTGTGTAGAACCTCGATACTTCTTGTCTGGTCCAAAATTAGAGAAATTGTTAGTAGTGTGGAGAAACTATTGCCGCGTGTGTTTGTTTACTGTAAGTATGAAACTGTTTTATGTTGTTTACCAGCTTTAGCTAATGTAGCTGTAGATTTGTTTGCGTTAGGGACTTGGGATTTAAAAACTGTATTTTCTCACAGACTGTCAGTTTTGCAGAGGTTTTCAAAAGAATCACAGAAACAATCCGCGTATTAGTCAGTGGGTGTATCACTACTGTTACTGTCAACAATATTATGGCATAATTTCCCAATATCGTGCGGCCTTGTGGAAATAGAAGTGGACCAACATAGATAAATATAATCTATTAGAAGATTACAGATAGAATAATGAACATCGATGTTCCCTTAGAAATGCTCTTGAAATGTCCTCACACCATGTCTGCAAAGGATGTATCTGAAATTGTCATCGAAGAATACATACGGTGATGTTTTTGGCTTGTAAAGAAAAGATGTCCACATATTTTTTAATTAAATATAAAAAGACAACATTTAGACTGTTCCTTTTTCTACAAGCAATAGAAAAATGGCAGTGTGAAAATGATCAATATTCACCACTGATTATAAATTGTCTCTAAACATATCAGCTTAATAGTAAAAATGTACATATAGTATTTTATTTTGAACCAAATGATTGATTACCATTTTGCATGAACGTGTTCGCTGACTTGCTGCTTCAACTTTCTGGAGCAGTAGGGTGCAACCCTGGTCCTTGTGGGACCCTTTCTGGCACGTTTTAGAGGTTTCTCTACTTCAACACACCAGCTTTTATTCAGTGGGTGATCAATAGGCTTGATGACCTGCTGAACAGGTAATTCATCTATTGAATTAGGTGTGTTGGAGCAGAGAAACAGATAAAACCTGTAGGATGGTGCCCCTGAAGACCAGGGTTGGAGTCCCTGAACTAAGGAATACTCTACCTTGACCGAGTCTACTTAAACCATTTTCTCCTAAAGTATTTATATAAAAATCCATGTTAATGATTTTGTGGATACTTTTCAGGCTTGAAATGAACAGGATACGAATCCACGTCTTGCCTTCGAGTCGTAACCGGGTGGCCCAGACTCGTCCACAGGAGCCCCAGGCCTGTTCCTTCACCCTACGACCGTGTTCTCAGCCACGTCTGGAAGGTTTGGAGTTCTGTATTAAACACATTCTTGAAGACAAGAATGCGCCATACAAGCAGTGCAGCTATGTCTCTGTCAAGAACGGCAAGCGCTGCCCCAATGCAGCTCCAAAGGCAGAGAGGAAAGATGGGTAGGCAGAAGTTCACACATTCATCAACTTTAAAGCTGTTTTCACACCTGCAGTTTGGTTCCTTTGGTCCAAATTTCTTTGTGATTTTGTTACATTACAGGGGTTTTTCTGCGCTTCAGTTTATTTTTGTACAGAAAAAAATAAACATGAGGCCTCACTACAAACCAAGTGAGACTGTTCAGTCTTCTGAGTAGTCAGATAGTCTGGGGAGTGGCTACAAACGTAAACACAGGAAGAAGCTTGTGTGTTGTGATCATGAGCTATTTTTGAACCCTTTGAATGTGTTTTTATGATTCAGAGATAATAAATCTTGGCATCTGTCCAAAAATAAGTGAGTTTATTTGGAACCACTCGGCGACCACCTCCTGTAGCAGGTCTCGGTATGGTTTTGTTATGTACCCTAGCATCATCACTAGGAATGTAAGAAAATGTCAATGCACTGAAATGTTTCATGTTATGATATTGAATTAATGTTTAATAGTACATTATATGAACATTTTACAATGAAATTATCACAAAAACACCTAATGTCTCAATCATAATGAAAGGAAGGCTACATTGAAACAGATCTGCTTCTCAGCAGGCTAAAGGGTTATTGGTTATTCTCCTTTCACAATGCTCAAAGAGGAGCGTAGTCGTTGTTTATAATCAGAGCTCGTGACGTTGCCAAGTCTGTTGATAAACTCTGCGGTGCCCGTTTTTGTAATTCGACACCAGCCGGCAAATACCTCAGTAGTATTAAAAGTGGAGAAAACCACATGTGATAAGTAGCAGCTACGCTGGGGAGAAGAGATTGTGCAGTGTCATATATGTGACTTGTGATTTGTAGTCATTTTAATTACAAATGTTTAATAAATATCAAAGTATGCAAAAGACATCGTTGAAACACTTTTTTTTCTCGTTTAAATTGAAGTACAATATATGTGTGAGTCAGGACGTAAGGCAAAGCGGATTAGAAAATAGCATTAATTTGTCTTTGTTAGGAAGACCCATGAGCCGGGTGGGGGTGGGGGGGGGGGTGGGGGGGGTGGGGGGGCTTCAGCCTTTAGACTTTTTTCCACCGGACGTTAAGTGTTGTGAAAACAGCCATGAAACATACTTTGTGGCAATTAGCCACCGTTATACGGATCCTATGTCCCCATCCCCCTTTCTGGTTCGGCTCATGGGTCCCCAGGGAAGTGGCCAGTATTTGAATAAAGAGGACCGATCACTGCAGGTGAGAACATCCTAACTGCAAAAGCTAACAAAAGACTTTGTTTAATGTGACTGTGAAGTTGTTCAGTACCAGACCTTTAACTCCAACATCTTTTTTTTTTTCCCATGTTTGTTCTCCAGAGTGACATTCTGTGCAGAACATTCCCATAAGAACGCCATGGCTTTGCAAGCTCAGATGAGAAAGTCCTCTGCTGGTCCATCTCCAGAGGCTTTGTTATCCCAGCTTAGCTGCTCTAACCGTGCAGAGGCATACAGTTTAGAGGGAGGACGCGCTGAAGCCAGCCGCATTCTCGGTAACAGGTCTTGATTTAACCTGGAAAGACACAAGTAAAAGCGCTTACTCTTTAGTCCAATGAATCATCATATTGCATGTTTTAATATATTATCTCTGTTTTAAACCCCACCTTCTCTGTTTTGACAGATGTAGAAAGTCTGAGTGAAGAGGAGCAGGGACCCCTGGTTCTTGACCAGACGTGGAGAGGAGATCCAGACAGCGAGGCAGACAGCGTTGACAGTGATCATGAAGATCCACTAAAGTAAGATGAAAATCTCACCCTACAGCAATCTGAATTCACATTTTTATTCTACTGATTGGATTTCTTTGTAAATAGACCCATTGCTTATTTTCTTTTGTTATGAGGTAGGATGCTAAACATGTAAAAATTTCTCCCAAGTAAAGAAAGAAAGAAAACAATCTTTTATAAAGAGCCTCTCGAGATAAAAATTACAAGGTGCTACACAAAAAGAAAAAATTTAATTATAAAAAAGATTTTTAAAATGTGATTAAATAATATGTTTAAAATGAGAAAAAAAATTGTGATTAAAAAATGTAAGGAAAGGGGGGAAATCAGTGGATCCCGGGAAATGTGGAATAGGTTGAGCAGAAAAAGGACAGGGTGATGATGAGTTGCAGTAATCTAAGCGTGAGGTGAAGTAAATTTTATAATGAAAACACTGACAAACTTGTCTATCCAGACAAACAAAAATGTTCAAGAACTGGAGATTTATTATTTATTTAAGTAAAACGGCAACAAAAGAAGCGTTAAAAAGATCTTCAGCTCGGACACCAGTCACTCAGTCTGTGGAAGCTTCCAGTAGCCTGGCCTGCCAGACTCGTCCTCTGTTTATTTAATTCTGCACAGAGAAAGAGTCTGATAACTCACAGGCAGAGACGCACATGAGGGGCGGGACTAGGCAGCTCAAAAATAACCAGTCAGATAAAGACGGAAATGCTGACTGTACCACGCGCCGCTGCAGTTTATTTAGCTGTAGTAAAAAAGGCGTCTGGTGAGAGCGCAAACATCTGTTTTTTTTATTTAGAAGAAAGGCTTTTAGCGCTTCAACTACTTCTATCTACCAGTCATTTAGAACAGAGGAAAGAGCCGCAGCGAACTCCGCTTCAGTCGCCATGTTTATAACAAACTCGGCATTGTGGTGTGTGACGTACGCTACTCAGCGCCGATTGGCTCGGTTAGAATTCTCAGGGGGTGGGGTTATTTGAATAGGAGAGTTCCCAGACCCTTTCTCTGTGCAGAATTAAACAGAGGAGGAGTCTGGCAGGCCAGGCTAAGCTTTCAGATCAGTTGTGTCTGAAGTCTGCATTTTTCTACAGGAAATATCATGATTTTGTTCATTCTTATTCTGGTTTTCTTGTATATTTGCAGACATGCAGGAGTTTACACAGCAGAGGAAGTGGCCTTGATCACTCGAGAAAAGCTCATTAGGCTCCAGTCCCTCTACATCGATCAGTTCAAACGCCTGCAGCATTTGCTCAAGGAGAAAAAGCGCACATATCTTCATAATCGGAAAGTGGAGCACGAGACTTTAGGTAAACTTACGGTACTTTGTAATTAAATGTGTTCGAAGTGGTTTGTCATTGTTGCTGTTTGATTCATTTATGTTTGACAGGAAGTAGCCTCCTGACAGGACCAGAAGGTTTGTCCTTGAAGGAGAGGGAAAACCTTAAAAAGCTCAAAGCTCTCCGTCGATATCGTCGTCGGTACGGCATAGAAGCCCTTCTTCATCGACAGCTCAGGGAGAGGAGGCAGGCTTTGACAGAAGGAGCTCCTCAGGTGGGAACACGGTTACAGAGCAGCTAAGTTAAAGTGTGCCATAAACACACAAGCTCCCCATCTCTTCTGTTCTGTATGCAGTCAACCAATTTCTCCCTTTATCCTCTGAATCTTGAGTTTTCATCCGTGAGTTTGTGGTGCTCTGCTTAATACTGAAGAACCCCTATTATTTCAGTTTAATAGGTAGGGGGCAGGATTATGAGTAGGGCTGAAAAGAATCAATAAAATGGTTTAATTAATTAAATTCCTTGAATTATTGTTTACTGATTCGTTAAATGGTGAAGTGGAGACATGCACATGCTGGGAAGATCTGATAAAATTATCCTGAAGTACCGATAGTGGAAACCCTCCTAATGTGCCATGAAATGTTAATAGTCCTGTCCCTCACTCAGAGGCTGCTTTAGCTAGGATGAGTAACTCGGCCATTTTTGAATGCTGCCATGAGTCATTTTTAGGAAAACCAAAGCATTGTTTTAAATGATCTAGTGTGACTGTTGAGTCAAATGTTTACAACCTCTTCTGTTGCAGATTCATGCAAAAACAGTAAATGAAAAATGCGTCTCTTTTGTGGAGGGAACCAGATGTACCAACACCTGCCTGCCCTTGGCTCGACACTGTCTCTCACGTATCCTTAACCATTAGTTTTACTATGAGAACTTTGTCTGTTTCTGGTTCTGTTCTCTGAACCCTGGCCCTGATCTAAAGCAGCAGCTTGCAGTAGCTGTTCGTTTTTAAAGGAGCCTAAATGAACTCCTTCCTGTGGTCTGTTGATTTGTTGCCCCAAACTGTAAAAGGGACGAATCATTTCAGTTGGAAGGAACAACATACTTTCCTAAGCCTCTTTTGTCTAACCCCTGAATCGTCCAGTGAGTCAAACTTTTCTACAAATAGAGTGGAACATATGGAAGTGGAATTTTGTAATGTGATAGTCACTGATAAAATGCTGTTGTGATTTATTCCAGCTGGAAAAGTGTGTAGTGTCATCATGGGTACATGAATGAGCTCACTGATCAGAATGTTACATCTATAGCAGCCAATGTTTCATAATTAAAGTTAGTTACAAGTTTCTCAACAAAAGGCTATTACCCAGGTTAGTTCATGCATCTGCACTAACCTTATGTTTTCTGAGCCTAAAACATCCATCTTTTTCTCTCCTTGAGTTAAACTTGTGTCTGAGGTGTTTTCCCTGACAGCCTGACTGTCAGACATCTACCAGGACAGCAGTCAGGTGCTTTTTAAGATCTGTCCAGGAATTAAAGATGTTCCGTGTGATCGTGTTGTCCACATGGGTCAGTCTGACAATCCTCGCTGTCCACTCCACCTCACTCTGCCTCCACTCATGTACCAGCCCGAGCAGGAGCCCCCCCAGCAGGAGCACTTCACACCTGCAGGCAAAGACATGTACCTGAGTGCAGCAGAGCTGCAGCCCACAGAGAACCTTCCCCTGGAGTTCAGTGATGTATGTTAAAACTGTCTTACACACACACACACACACACACACACACACACACACACACACACACACACACACACACACACACACACACACACACACACACACACACACACACACACACACACACACACACACACACACACACACACACACACACACACACACACACACACACACACACACACACACACACACACACACACACACTCTCTCTCTCTCTCTCTCTCTCTCTCTCTCTCTCTCTCTCTCTCTCTGTAAAGCATCCTGTTCCACCATGAGATGCTTTTCACACCAAATGAAAAAGAAAATTCCTTTGATGGATCAGGTCTTTTAGCGCAGCCACCCATTAAAGTTTAATTTATGGCGTTTTCCAACAGCACCACTCAGCCTGGCTCAGATGGGTGCAGTTTACTTTGACAGCCTTTTCTAAAAGTACGGTTTGGTATTGGCCCCCAACTTTTCAGTACCTGTTTTGTTGTGGTTCCTTGCATGCTGACCTGGTCTTAAAACACGATGTCTGCAATTGATTTGGCTAGGGGTTGAAGTTGCTGGTTTTTCCAGAGCTTTCTGCCTGCTGCCTCATTGCCTGCGCCATTTCCAGGTTCAGAGTCTGACAAAAGCCAAAGACCGAGGCAAGCAGAATGTTCCAACTAGGGTCATGCGATCTGATGATATAAGATCATTAAGGATTATAATGTGACGACAATCTACCAAAGCTCTGAGATTCTAGAACTGTCTATTTACATTCTGTCACCCATCTGTGCCATTATTTCTGGATGAGTCTACGGGCACACAACATTTGTTGTTGTTTTTTCTCTCCGCCGACTTACACCATTTGCTAGTCTGCTTCTGTTGGCCATAGCTGTCGGCACAACAGACACACAGATTAACCAATCGGAGCAAGTTTAAGGCAGCATGTTGGTTTGTTTATCTGGGGGTGCTCGGTAGAGCTGAGGAAAATAGTCTAATAATCGATGTAGACATAAATGATTATGAATCGTTGAAGCACACCATAATCAATTACAGGGCTAGTATTAGCCACTAGCGTGCTCCATCTCTAAACGGTCGTTGCATGTATTCTCACGCGTCTGCTAGATCAGGAAACCTCTGTGTTAATGTTCTGCTCTAAACTTTGCATTTGGCTTTGTGGCTTTTATTATTTGGGGACGTTCGTTCGTGTTTTAGCGAGCCTTTTCACTGTGGCTACCGACCGGCGCTTAGTTTATCCTGTTTGTGTGGCGAGACGGGCCAAACCCCTCCCCGGTGTTCTCAGGGCACAGCTACAGAGAGCAGCAAGGCCAAAATGGAGAGGATGCAAATGCACAAAGAATTTAGTTTAACATGGTTTTTTTTCTGGACACGAAGTAAATCCTGATAATATTGTGGATGATAGGATATGAGCCACCTAGATATAATTTTAGGTATTTAATATTAATTATAAATATGCAATAAAGAAAAGTGCATGTGGGACATTTGAGATCTCTAGTTCTCAACTGAGCTAGGTGGGTGGATGGATGTTTAGTTTTTATTATGATTTTTTTTAGGATTTTGTAATCTGTTATCCTATTTTCAGTGAAAGGGTATGCTTTTGAATTGTTGTATTTTACTGGTAATTAAACTTCAGTGTCTGAATTGTTGAAATGGACAAATTTTTGATCGTGATTTTGCAGAAAATAAATCGCGATTTGTAATGTGATTTTTTTTTTCTGCATCGCCCACCCCTAGTGTTTCTGTGTGGCATACAGATCATCTCACACGGTTCACTCTTCACCTCGCTGTATTTTTGTCTAGAGTAAAGATCACACACAGGTTCTTCGGGTCCCCACCGACGTGCGAGCTTTGACGTGCACACCCACTAGAGCATTTTGCTGTCACATTCTGTAGGAAAACCCAACTAACTACACTTAAGTGAAGACTCGCTGTTATCGACTAAACAACTGAAGCTGCCTGTGTACAATAGTCATAAAAGGGTTGCTCATACCACGGCTCCCTGAAACTGCAAAACCTGCTGTTTTCAACCACAGAGAGTCACCCAGTGTGATAAAATGCTAACACCAGACCTTTTTGCTGTCTGCAGGCAATTTCTCAGGGTGATTGTTTTTAAGGTGGCAGACTAGAACTAAATGCAGACAGGTGATTTGCTAAGGTGGAAAGGCCAAAAGAGAAATAAGTTTGTTTTTAAGGCAGTGTTTCTCGTCCCACACGTTCAAATGCCCAATATTCACACATTAAACTGTTGAGATGCCTTCACTCTCAGATTTAAAACGCCTCCAAACTGCAGACATTTTTTCTCTCCTGTGGTGGCACTTTAGCTTTCCATTAGCATGCTAGCTAACAGCTACATTGTGTGGTGTCTGATTTCCCTAGCTACCTTAAATTGTATGACCTTATGGAAGTGTTATCATTGAGGAAACAATAAATACTGATGTACTGGAGCTTGTTGAAATTAAAACTAAGCCATTGTTTGTACGCTTAAAAATCTATCAGGATAAATTTAAAAGGTTATGTTTGTGGTTTTATAAGGTTAAAGGTTATATATATTATATTTGTATCCCATGTGGCTCACTGAGGATGATGAATTTAGTTATTGATTTTTTATTTTTCCGTTTGTCCTGCTATGACAGTGACACACAAACATGGTGAAACATCTCCTTCCACACTAACAAAGGGTTAAAAGTGAAAGGGAAGCTAGCGCTAGCTCTCTCGCTCTGCTCTGATGGGACGCATACAGTGGGAATGTTAAAGTCAGCTTTGTTAGATAGACTCCAGGTTTTAACAACTTCCCAAGTTTTTCCATGTTTGGCCGCGTTTCCAACATTGCAGCATTCACTGGGTCCTGGGTGGAAGTGCTTGTCACTAGAAAGGCAGCATGATGAAAATTTGTGACATAGAAGCCCTTTTTAGAAAACACACCATGCCAGTGTAACAAAATGTTTCCAGTAATCTAAAAGGAGGAACAAGCAGGAGCTCGCTACTCCGTTGCACTGTTTAATCAGAGGTGCATACTAGGGGTTGTATCAACTTGTCGACTTCACTGCTCTGTAGTGACTTTTTATGACTTTCATCGACTAGTCGCTGTAACGCGATAATGACCGACAAGATGCAGTCCTCAGAAAAGACAGGTAACGAGCCCTGTGCCAGAGCGTCGGTATCTGACGCCCGCAGTAAAACGGACATTGATCGAATTGTGACCTTTACCCTCTTGCAATTTAACATTCCCCTCACCCCCATCCTAACCTTAACCAGCTTGCGCATGCAAACCTCTGATTGTTGACGTGCTCCAGACATCTGCGTCGTGAGCACGGCCACAGTAACATTATCAAATTAGGTGTCGCCACCTCAAAAACAAATTTAACACGCGATCATTCATGCCGGCTCATTTCCTTTTATGTTTTCTATCTTTTATTTGAGCCTGATGCGTTTCGCTGCTGTGGAGCGGAGCGCATCACCTGTTTCGTCCTCTGTGACGTACCTCACCGGTGCAGCCGGCGCGCAGCGAGCACTCCGCTGTTTTTGTGGTCGGTAGATCTTTCAGAACTGCAGTTCAAAGGTAACTCATTAGGTGAATATATATGAACCCAGGTAGCAGTTTTTCTTTAGGACTGAGAGGAGATGCAGGAAGATAGTAAACAGAGACAGGACAGAAAAATAGTCAAATAAAAACAAGTTGTAAGGAACATGATGTCACGCTTAATCAGTTACCCCTTTTGACATGAGTTTTATGTCATCTTCATATAATAAGACAGTAACTAGTCGTAAGCTACTTGCTGACTGATCAGTCGACAACTCTTCAGCATGTCATCACGTAAGACCCTTGGTTAGGTTTGATGAAGTTATTCACTATCTGGTGTGTGGATCGTTTAACAGTCTTGGTTCATTTCTCTGTTCAGGATCTGGATGTAGAAGGAGACGGTATGCAGGGTCCCCCATCCCCGCTGCAGTTTGATACAGCGCTTGCTCTGGAAGACCAGACCATCAGAGCTATTGCTGAAGCACCAATGGACATCTTGACTGGAGAAGACCCAGACCAGGTGGACCTGGACTCCTCAGGACAGGAGCTGTCAGAAAGAGATGTAGATGCCATCATGAATGACCAGGTTAGACGGTTTCATGTGTCGAGTTTCTCACAATAACGCTGTTTTTAGGGCTGCATGGTGGCACAGTTGTTATTACTGTCGCCTCGCAGCAGGAAGGTTGCAGGTTTGAAACCCGGCTGCGATCCCCATGCATGTGTGGGTTTCCTCCGGGTCCCCCCACAGATCACAACATGCTCTATAGGTTTACAATTGTATGTCGTTTTGGATAAAAGTGTCTGCTAATTAAATAAACATAAACTTAAATGTGATTATTGAGTCAGAACAAAGCTACTCTGATAGGGTTCGGGTTAACACCTATGACCTTGATATACTTGCTGTTTGATGACGCAAACGTGTTTAAAATGGCTGCCACTCATTACTTCTGTTGATTTGATGTGTTGTTTGCTTCCCCTGAAATCAATGTGACGCATTTGAACGCTGCAATATACGAGTAACCAGGAGGTGAGGTCTTTTTTCTGTCGTGGATAAAAAATTAACCAGTTACTGATCTCTTCTATTAATGCCATGTTTGTTTTGGTTGTACCCACAAGCCCGGCTCTCCGGTCTCCGCTCTGGTCTGAGTAGTCTAGTGCGCCCAGTGGTGGAACGCCCCAGTACTGCGTGCAGTGCTGTGCTGTGCAGCAGCAAGTATGTGACCAAAGCTGCAGCCTTCTGCCTGCACCAATGCGAGGTCAAACAGCAAGTAAATCACGGCCCTTACACGTTCAGCTTCCCACCAGCAGAAGTCGAATAAAGTTGGTTTGGTACTGCGGATGAGAACAGTTCAATCTGATCTTAGGTCAGGCGATGTGTTCCAGTCAGCCCAACAGTCAGCGATTGATGAAATCTAGTTCTTTTTGTGGGTGGGACCCAGTAGTCCCCACTGATCCCAAGTGCTACTGCAGAAGAGTTTCTGGCTAAAAACAGCACAAAGTCACTGGTATTTTTATTTTAAGCTACAGATTTAATGTAAACTGATGGATAAAGTAGAGCTCCAGACAGAAGGCTTACTGTGGACCTGTTCTTCTAACCACCTGCCATAAATGTCACAGCACAGCATTTTATCGAAGCTCAGAAATGTCTTAAGAACCACATTTGTTCCACAGAAATGTGGCGAGGTGCGAGGAGCAGCAGAGCACACAGGGAAAGGTTTGTCGACGCCACAGGCATCATTAGATCAGTTAGGAATCTTAACCAGCTTCAATGTTTGGTCAAAATTGTTCTGATTGAATAATTACATTAGAAGAAAAAGTTTGATGCGTTCCACCATTAATCTGTTTCCTCAGTGTGACCGCAGCTCCTCTAGCGTTTTAATGTCCTAAGCACAGCTTCAGCTTCAGCCTCGTACTCCACTACGGTCCCTGAGGACAGCCTAGCTTTTGTCTGCAGAACAAACGGTAAATAGTCTGTATTTGTATAGCACCTTCTTAGGGGTCTACAACCCCCCAAGGCGCTTCACAACACAATCCGTTATCCACACACTCACCCGCTGGTGGGGATGAGCAGCCATGTAGCCACAGCTGCCCTGGGGCGCACTGAAAGAGGCGGGGCCTGTCAGCTACTGGCAACCTGACGATTACTGGACAACCCGCTCTACCTCCTGAGCTACTGCTGTCCTCAAGGCTGAAGCTTTTGTAGTAGTACCACCTAAACTGGGAATTCATTATCATCATCTATCTAAAATGTCATCTGTGCCTGTTGTTTTCAGGTGGTGTCAGACATGGTTGAAGGTGAAGATGCTGCTGACAGTTCGAACCAAGATATGGACCCAGCTGCGGCCGACTCCTTCTGATGAACCACTTTTAAGAGTTTTTCTCTTCTGTTTCAGTGGAACCATCAGTTTCAGTTTCATTAAAGTTGATTTGTTTGTTTTTGTTAAGCAAATGTAAATATCTGCTAGTGTTAAACTCACTGGTACTTGAAGTTTCACGTGCTGGAAGTAAAGATGTAATGAGCGAGAGCTTTGTCACATTAAGGGATGACTCGCACTGAAGGAGTTAGCATCAGCATGGGGGAAGCGCTGCAAACAAATCACTATTATAGAAGAACACACACTCTACCAGTTGGTTCATAGCCTAACCCCATAGTCTGCTGCTGAAAACTGTATCGCTTGAGCAGCTCGGTGTGATGTGACATGATAAAATAAATTCTTTGTCAGCAGCAGAAACCTTTTCCTGGTTATGTCCTCATTTATCTCGTGTGAGTTTATTGAAAATACTCAGTGTTCCTTATTCTGTGGCGTTCATAAACAGCATCTGTGGTTTGGGATTGGGATTTGGGGGGGGTGGGTCTATTGGAGATAAAGGTCAGCTCCATATTTGAGGTCATGGTTTTCCACCAGAAACTGGTGGGATGTTGTTGGATTTGGAGTGAAAGTCCTGATCAGGATGCTTCCTCTGGAGGAATTTAGGTCTTTGGGATGAGACCTGGGGGCAGACCAGGATTTACCTAAGGGATTATGTGGTTTGGGAATACCAAAGGATTCACAAAAAGACCCGGAGAGGGATGTCTTGGTTTCCCATCCCGTCTGGGACAACATTTGGAGGCATGGAAGAAAACACAGTGCTCTTCATTTTATTTTGCTTTAGTAAATAAAAGATTAAAAATCTTAAAATGATTAAAAATAAAGTAAATACCCTGCACGTCTCAGTGCATTCTGTGCTTTTTGAAAGGAACACTGGTTGATTTCCGTGTTAATATCAAGACTCCTTAAACCTTAAGCTGGTATTTTATGTGACCCAACGCTGGTGTTTGGGGGAAGTTCTGTTGGGTCCACCTCACTACCGATCGGGGCGGGTTCTACTGGAGCGATGACATCACTTTTCCTCCGACCCAAACACTCCCCGGCTGAGGAGAGAAGGGCCACACTGGCGGCCGGAGACCGCTGCCTCCATGGGCTCCAGCTAGCAGTGTTACACGGTCACAGTTGGTGTTTGTGGTGGTGTGGATCCGCCGTGGTCCGGAGGCTACAGCCTTCAACCGAATCAGGTGAGTTTGCGCCTCTGGGATGTGGTTTAATGTGCAGAAATGTTCTCCGGGCCGAGATTTCTGCAGCTCGCTGCTGGCTTTGTGCTGCTGAGCTCGGGTTGATGTTTACTGGGAGGGGGGCTGGGTTTGGATCGGAACCTGAGGGCGATCCAGTCTCTCAGCCGGTTCGGTTCTGAGGGGCCTAGAGGCTAATTACCGGACCCGTCCTCCGATCAGAACCTTATTCTGCTACTTTGGTCCGTTACTGGATCAGTCTCACAGATTTCTGCTTTAGGAACCAGAAAGAGGAACATAAAGAGGAAGTGGTGCGCGTGCGTGGCAGGGTTTCTGTGTAACACCGATGCAGAGGAGAGGACTCTGGAAGAAGGGAGTGATGCTGAGGACCACTAACTCCGCTGGGTTCCTGTGTGTCGCCCCTTATTGGTCAGAATACGCACGACCCGTCCTTGTGGAGGGTCACGCTAATTTCATATGATCTGCGTGGACAACAGGAACTCTGCAGAACCGCTCGAACGTTTCTGAATAAATCAGATGCAGCTGCTGCCCCAAACTCCAGCATCAACTAATCATTTCAGCTGAGGCAAAACGTTCTGTTTCATAAACTCTGCATTTGATAAAAATAAAACCCACACAAACAGAAATGTTAAAACTGCTGCCAGTAGCTCATAAGGGTCACCATGGTAACCACCATCTCTGCCAGTCACACAAGAGGCGCATTTATGTTTTTGTCGTGTTTTATTAGAAAATGTAACTAATTAGTAATAACCTTCACTTCCTGTCTGGAAGAGAATATTCTGATGTGAAGGCTATGGAAGCCTCGATGTGTTCTCCCAGCGTTATGAGGAGATCTGAGGGAAAACCAGAAATACCCAATTTTCATTTAAGATGTTTTATGGTGAAAGTACATTCCACTGAGTTCACATCTATCCACATGTTTGTAGGTATCTGTGTTTACTGCTGCTGGCCAAAACAAATTGTTTTTAATACTGGAAATTATGAATGAATAGTTGTTGCCTTCTACAATAATAATAACAACGTATTTTATAATAACTTATTTTTACTGAGTGCTGACCTTGACAAGGAATAAGTGAATTATAATTTTACTTTGCTTTGAAGATCATCTTCTATGAAAAATTGGCTTGCTATACACCCCATGCTGAGAGGCTTCAGGAGTACTTGTTTAACACATTATTTAATGCAGTAGTGATGACACACACTTAAGGATAGTAGACAAAGTGTCTTTGCTCTTCCCTGTAGTTGAAAAGGGAAGCCATGTTATTTGAGTTTCAGGAGCGGCCATGCTGTTTTTGGAACTAGAGCCCAAGTTCTCCAGATGTGGGTTTGTATGCCCCGCCTATCTACCTGGCCAAAATCTTGTTGAGAACTGTGAAAAGCAGCAAGAGTCGATCCCTGGAACAAATTATGAAGTGTATTTTTTTAAATAAGGAAAAACATCTAATTTGTGTAGAGGGTGGGGCTTTTTCTAGCATGATCTTCTGGTTTGCGTTTCAGTGCCTGAAGTTAACAAGTCTTTTGTTTCAATGACGGATGGAAATATGCATTTGTTTGCATTTGTCGGAGATTGTGACTCAAACTTTGACTATTTGGATGGAAACGTAACCAAAATGAGTAGAGCTGGAGTCAGATGTTGGTTTTCCCAGTGGTTTAACCAAGCCGATTTTTGTGTCACCTATATGTTCTAAGGCAGAAACCAAACTTAGTAAACACTTAAATTGCTTGCTGTAGATTTTCTATGAGTAACATGTGAGGTTACGATGACCAGAGAAAAGCAGGAACCAGCGGCTTGTCTGGATCTGTGGTGACTTATCGGGTCGTGCTGCTTTCACTTACCGATGATCCACATTTTCAGAATAGTTTCTAGTCATGAGGAGTGAACTGCTTCCTGTTTCTTTTCACTTCATGAAGGATTTATCACCACTAATATGTGTTAGTACTGCCAATAATTTGTAAATAGGTAAAGTTTTTTTATATAGCTCTTATCAGAAAGAAAAATCACAAAATGCTTCATAAAGAACAACAAAACAAATCATAAAGTCATAAAATGACCATAAAAACAAAACAACAAAATATCACTAAAAAGATTAAAGGGGCATTATGGAAGTTTGGCAGCCAAAACATGTATAAAAATAATCAATTTCTTCTTCATACATTCTCCTGCAATGCCCTGGTCCTGTAGAATGAGCCCTGGCATTTTTACTGTGATTGCCTATTTTTCTGTAAAATCACAGAAAAAGAGAGCTGCTCGGGTCAAACAGGCTGCTTCATGTGCGTTCACGCTCAGGCATAGCCCGTAGCATTTGCTATCAGTAGATTTAGCAGCAGAGAGAGAGGTAGTGCCAACTCAGCGACTTTGTCGCTGTTCCTAATGCCTAGTGACAAACCTAGCTACATTTCTGAGGACCCTTAGCTACTTTCTGTAGAACCTTCTTCTAGATATTTCCTGCAAATTAGCAACAAAATAGCCATTTTCGCTCCGAACCGTTCTTTGAACGTTGTTTCAGCTGTCATCAAGGATATAAACGTTACAGATAAAAAGGATACCACTCATGGACGTAATTTTCACTTTAGAAGTGGGGGGGGGGCACGGGGGGGGGGGGTCTTTACAGTATGCTCTAATGGGAAACAGGCTTCAACACAAACGGTTGTTTTCTGCTTGGTCCTAGAGCTCAACTAGTGTCAATTTAATATAGCGTAATATTGTTTTTGGATGGTAAAAAGTGCAGGGGTCAAACCTTGACTTTGGAAAAAGTGGGGGGGACATGTCCCCCCTGTCCCACCCAAAATTACGTCCATGATACCACTGGTGCTTTGATTTTGTATGTCAACATAGTTTATTTAGAGTTTCTTTTTTACATTAATGGTATAATTTTTACAGTAAGATGCCCAAATTTTTATTTGAGACTTGCCAAACGGCATTGAATTCACAGATAAAAAAAGATGTGGGTTCAACTTTTCACCTTGTCGGCTGTGCTGAAGAGAAAGGTACAGAACCAAATTATTTAATTAATTAGCTGCGCGTTCTCCTGTCCTCTGTCCTCCGGGTCACACACACACATACACACAAGGGACTGTCTCAGCTGTTATTTTCATTAAAGAGTGTGCACGTACAGCATGCGCGCCTTGTGCACGAGCCTACTATTGAAGCTGCCGTTACGCTTTTGGCCTGAGGGGGCAATCGCGAGCATAATAATTCAAAACCCCGTAAAGTCCCTTTAAAGATAATTAAAAATCATCCATCCATCCATTTTCTGTACCCGCTCTGTCGACGCAGGGTCGCCGGGGGGGGGGGGGGGGGGGGGGGGGGGGGGGGGGGGGCTGGTGCCTATCTCCAGCGGTCAAGGAGCAATCAGGCGGGGTACACCCTGGACAGGGAGCCAGTCCATCGCAGGGCAATAATTAAAATCAGAAAACACAAAAGATTTAGAAGCAGTTTTATTTTAATAAATGAGTCAAGACATACAATTGTAAAAAGATCAGAAGTCAAACTACAAAAATATAAAACATATGTAAGGTAATTAATTAAAAAGTCAATTGTACAGATGGACAAAAATATTGAAGTAAATGCAGCTTTAAATAAAAGGGTCTTCAGCTGATTTTTAAAGGTGAGAAAACTGTCGGCACTATGTGAGAATAAAGGAAATTCATTCCAAAGTCGTTTTGCAACAGCCTGGAAAGAGCGAGTTGAATTTCGTCTCTGGTCTGTGGAACTTCTAGCACTTTGCTGTTTGGAGATTAAACAAGATTTCAGAGCTTTGAGAAATTAGTGCAGAGCTCTTAAAGAGTCTGTTTGCTGTTGTAGCAAATCTACATAACAAGCTAGTTTTTGAATGCGAACCTGGTCATAGTCCCCTCATCTGCATCCACCGGAACCAGAAACCCACATGGCCAGAGTAAACGAGGTAGCACTAAACACCAGGCGCCATTTTCTAGGTCCAAACATCTTTTGTTGTCCGTGACTTTAAATGGAGTTTTTCTTTTTGGGACTTTGTTTGTCCTAAAGTTGAAGTGGTAGCAGCCGGCTGTTTCTCCTTCTCTGATGTTCTTGAGCAGAGAACCTCTTATACCAGTGGTGATCTGGTGATAAATACGTGCGTGCGTAATGAATGGAGGACCTAGGGGAAGTGCGGTGGTTCGGTGAGACCAACAACCGGATGGTCC